GGAACAAACTGCTGAGAAACCACTGCTGGTTGGGCTGGGAAGGGTTCTAAGAATGAACAACTCTGTTTAAGGCTGCCGTTCCCAAAGAAGTATGAAGTCAACCAGTAGAATAGGAAGACAGCGGTGAGAAGTGGCAGCTCCTCTGGGAATATGGAGGTCTGTTGGCTCAGTCGGAAAGTTTTCCTTTCATAACTGGGCTTCCCTTGTGCTACCTGAACCATACCATAAAATCCAATCATCCCAGCACACTTGTGTGGCGTGCACAGTTAAGCACCGGGGCTGTAAAACGAGAGTCTCAGACCTTGTGTGTAAGCTTTGCCCTATGGGCCCAGCACCCACCCTAGAGACCATGTCTGCAAGTTCCTGGAGTGGCCCAGGAGCCAAGATCCCCAGTGAACCTAGGAGAGGTGAGAGGAAGCACGGTGCCCAGCTCAAGAGCAGCCTGAATACACCCTCCCTTTCCATCCAGAGAACATGGGACCCCAGGCAGAGGTCAGCTGAGGATGAGACTGTCTCCTTGCATCGTGTTTTCTTAAATCCACCTGATCTAGTTTCAAAGTCATAGGCACGGTCATACAAATGACTCTTCCTACACCGTCTGCAATAAAATGGATGGACCAGAGATCATCCAGTCAAGTGAAATGAGCCAGACTCAGAAAACAAACACTGCACGCTTTCTTTTGAATGCAAAATCGAGCCAGGACTTTTTGTTGTTTTTTGAGGCAGGGTCTCACTTTGTAGCTCAGGCTAGCCTGGAACTTGTATCAATCCTGCCTCAGCCTCCCAAGTATTTAGGGTACAAGTGTGAGCCACGGCACCCAGGTTTGGAGTAGATACGAAGTAGAAGGTACTAAAGTGGGCAGAAAAGGAGTCTAAAAGGAGGAGGAACAAAAGGAATGTAAGCATCATGTTTCCTCTCATAGGCAGAAATCTAGATTTAGCAATACACATACTATACGTAAACACGAAAGCAAAAACGGGCCATTATGGGGAAGAACAGTGGGGTGGGAGCCAAGGGAGGACAACAGGGGGAGTAAATATGAGCAAAGTAAAATGATATAAAAGTCATGATGAAATGCGTTATTTGTATGCTAACTGAAAATCAATAAAAAATAAGATAAAAATGACTTATTTCAATTTCCACTGTATTGTGTTTACTTCCCATATATCATTCCCAGAGTTTCGTTTATGTCCTGGCTCTTGGTTTCTCTTAAAATATTTTGGGGCTGGAGAGATGGCTCGGTGGTTAAGAATGCTGGTTGTTTTTGCAGAAGACCTGGGTTCGAATCCCAGTACCCACATGGCAGCTAACAACTGTAACTCCAGTTCCAGAGGATCTGACAGCCTCTTCTGTCCTTCGAGGGCATTGCAGGACATTTTAAGGGCACCCATCATGCAATGCCCGTGGAGGTCAGAAGAGGGCATCAGATCTCCTGGAACTGGAGTTATGGACGATTGCTAGCCACCATGTGGGTGCTGGGAATTGAACCCAGGTCCTCTGCAGGAGCGGCCAGTGCTCTTAGCCACTGAGCCATCTCTCCAGCCCCACTTGCTCTTGTTTTCCTCTACTGGACCAGGCAATAGCTTACTTTTCTATTTCTACTGTTATTTATGCCACTCTCCCCACACACAAGCACCCATGCACTCTTGCATCTATACATATATGCACACATAGATCCAGACATCTATGCATCCTTGCATCCATGCACACATGCATCTGTACACATGCACTCAAACATCTGTGCACACATGTGCACACTTCTAAATTTCTTATCACATCTATACAGTATCCTAATTTATTAAATTTTCTTTTTCCTTTTTAAAATTTCCACCTACCTTCCTTGGTTTTTCTGCCAATTTTTGAGAAGTCCGCTTGAACATAGATGAATCTACAAATAATTTTTTTGGTCTGAGACAGGGTCTCCCTGTAGCCCCACCTGGCCTGGAACTTGCTATGTAGACCAGGCTAGCCTTGAACGCCACATATATCTGCCTGCCTCTGTCTCCAGAGTGCTGAGACTAAAGGCACGCCTGGCTCATAATCATTTTTAATGTTTTTTATAATATTTTATTTATTATTTTTATTTTATGCATTGCCTGCATGTAGGTAAGTGCACCCATGTCGTGCATGTAGGTAAGTGCACCCGTGTTGTGCACAGTATTGTGTATTACCTGCATGTATGTAAGTGCACCTCTGTCATGTAATGCCCACACAGGACAGAAGAGGCTATCAGATCCCCTGGAACTGGAGTTATGGACAGTTGTTAGCTGCCATGTGGGTGCTGGGATTTGAACCCGGGTCTTCTGCAAGAACAACCAGTGTTCTTAACAGCTAAGCCATCTCTCCAACCCCCTCATTTTTAATCTTAGGTAGTGAAAATGATTACAGCTATGACCTTCCCTGGGGCCATGCCGCCTCTGTAGCTCACAGATTCTGCTCTTACTGTTCCCATTATCCTTATATCCACTGAATTCTTCACCTCAGACTTGATTCTCTACATTTCACGAATGACCTGTGAAATTCTTTCATCCAATTTTCTATTTCTTGCCAGCTTTGTTGTTAATCTCTAACTTTATTGTACTATGGTCAGAGAATCTCGTTTCAAAAGCCTTTTTCTTTTTTAATATTTTATTTATTTTTATTTGATGTATATGAGTGCTTTGCTTCCATGTATGTAAGTGCATCACATGCATGCAGTGCCTACAGCGGACAGAAGAGGGTGTCAGAGCTCCTGGAACTGGAGTTATAGATGGCTGTTAGCTGCCATCTAGGTGCTGGGAACTGAGCCTGGATTGTCTACAAGAGCAGCCAGTGCTCTTAACTGAGCCTTCTCTCTAGCCCCTTTGTTTCCTTTTTTGAGGCATGTCGTACTAGCTAGCCCAGGCTATCCTAGAACACATATTCCTCCTGCCTAAGACTCTCACACACTGGAATTACAGGCATGCATCCTCACATCCAGCTGAAGCAATTTTCAAAAGGATGGTAAGGGTGGCTTTTGGGTCAATATGGTCAATCTTGTAGTGCACCCTGCATAACGACAACAAGTCTCTATCCTTGAGAATGTGTGTGTCTTTCTCTTTCCATGTAGATACACAGGCTAGGAGAACTTTATTAATTGCTTATTCTCAGAGCAGTGTTAAGAGTTTTTGCTCTGACATGGGGCAACACTGGGTCCTTGCCATGTGACCTTGGGCCCACCAGCCCAAGGTAGCATCCCAAAGAGGACCCAGCCCTAGATAGGATTTTGATCTCCGTACACATTCTGTCCGGGTTTTAATGAAGTCCAAGTAGCTGTCTGTAGAAACTCTGATCCCATCTCCTGTCCTCTAGGCTCTAAAGCCCTAACCCAAGAACCCTCTCCCTCTTGGCCAGTGAAAGTCTCCATCAAACACATTGGGCTCCCCTTCTCCTTGCACCCCCATGTTCAGCTGCATATGCTGAGCCATGGCCCATCTCTCATCCTGAGGGTATGTCCCTGGTCTGAGGCTCTGTGTGTGAGACTCTGGTCTGGATTCTCCCTTCTCTGTTTCTTGCCTTTTTCTCCTCAGAGAAGAGAGACAGTAGCATCTGTGATGACTGTGACAACCTCCCCATGTTAGCAAAACTGAGCACAGCGACTTGCGCAGCTCGTTACACATCAACCATCCAATGACCATACTCACTCAGACAAGGTTCCAGAGCTGCCGGTGACCTGTGCCGGTGACTTGTGCCAGTGCTGCTTCCTTGACTTCTGTTCATTCTGAGCTTCTCCAGAATTCCATCTGTAATAGTTTCTCTATTTATTTTTATTTTATTTTACTTTATTTGTGTATGAGTGTATTGCCTGCATGTAGGTAGGTGCAATGCCCACAGAGGTCAGAAGATCCCCTGCAATTGGAGTTATGGATCATTGTTAGCCACCATGTAGGTGCTGGAAATTGAACCCAGGTCCTCTGCAAGAGCAGCCTGAGCTCTTAACTACTGAGCCATCTCTCCAGCACCTCATCTGTAATAGTTTCTAATGCATATATGGTCAGTTCGCCTTAATTTTTCCCAAAATTTCTTAAGTTGATTGACCTAAGAAATCAATGGGATTTCTCTTCCTCCTCCCCCTCCCCCGTCCCCCTCCCCCAAAAAAATCTGATTCTGCTCTGTCTGCTACCAGGTGTGGTGCCACATGCCTTTAATCCCAGCACGCCAAAGCAGAAGTAGGTAGGTATCTATTCGAAGACTTGTCTCAAAAAAAAAAACAGATTCTGCCTGTTCTTTTCTTTATGCCCTAGCCGCCCACATTTTCATCCCTCCCACACTGCTTCACAAAGAAACAAATCTAGAACGCCCTCTCACCCTCTTTGGTCCACACCAGGTACTTCAGATAGTACAACCAGGATTGGGGAAAGGCGGCCCAAAGAAAAGGAGACTCCCACACAGAGAACAAGGGTACCTGTGGACAGCCCTGCTGGGTCTCACCACAGAAACAGCAAGGCATGGATCTGGCCCAGAGCTCATCCTTGTTGAAACCTTCAAACCTAGAAATCAAAAACATTTTTTTCTGAGACAGGATTCCATGTAGCCCAGGCTAGCCTTAAACTCAATATATATCTCAGGATGACCTTGAGCTCCTGATTCTCCTGCCTCCACTACCCGAATTCTGGAATTTCAGGCATGCCCCATCCACATCTGGTTTCGTATGATGCTGGGGATGGAACCCGGGCCTTCATGAACGCTAAGCAAACATTCTACCTACCCAGCTCCATCACCAACCCTTGGAAATGGATTTCCAGTAGAAACTGCTGGGGAGTGCAGACCAATCAGGTAGCGCGAGAACGGTGGCTGGGTGGAGCTCCTTGCCAGCCTGGAGGCCCCAGGGTGCAGGGGCCTCTCAGATTGCTGAGAACAAGGAGAGGAACTGGGGTTTGCGAGCATTGTGGCTTCTGTTTCCTGTTTCAGAAGCTGCTGTGTAGAAAGAACAGCAAGGAGGGAAACAGTGAGGGGCGCAGAGCCTGAACTGAACGATCCCCTGGCAGTGCATTATCCACCTGAGACCAGAGCGACACTCGGTAGGGGCAGAAGGCTTTCCTGAGCCTCTTGAGACAGAGCCTAGGACCCAAGGTAACTGTGGAGGAAGATGCTTTGGGGTCCAGGTTGGGCCTGTTGACTAGGGTGGGGCAGAAGGTGCTCCGCCATGATGGCTTCCTGATAGCAGCAGGTGGTAGAATTCAAGAGTGTTGGGGTTTGGTTGACCAAGAAAGCACCCCAAGTTGGATTCCTGAGGCAACAGCCAGCCACAGGGAAATAGCCCCAGCTCTCTGCTCCATCTGTTAGCTTAAATTAGGCGTTAGTCACGCGACTTGGGGGTCCAGGTACTCAATATCAGCAGCATGAATTGATGGACCTTTCTGAGTTCCATTCAAAGCAGGGGTCCCCATCCCATTCCCTTCTCTCTCAACTCTGAGACTCTGAACTAGGAAGGCCAGACCCACGCAGAAAGCCATCCATCATTTCTGTGGCATTCACAGGAAGCAGGAGCAGAGACTTAGAAGGCAGCGGCAAACCACCGTCAGGTGAGGGCAGCACCCTGGTGTTTTCCTGTGCAGCCAGCATCACCTCTTCCTCCAACTAGGCCCTCTCATGTTGCCAAGGGGCACCTCAGACTCCAGAAAGCCTGAGTAGTGGCCTTGTGACCTTTCTCTGAACCTACAAGACCAGTTCCTTTTCTCCACCGTAGCCTGTACCTGTCCCATCAGGCATCCCACAAGCCTTCTTGTGTTTAAAGCAAGTCAGCATGATCAACATCCCAGAAGGCTGGGTGTGATTCCATATGTGTCATACCAAATCTCACCAGGTTGGGGGGTGGGGCGGGTGGTCCAAGGACACTCATCTCCAGAGGGCCTTTCCTACTGCAACTCCCCTCTTGGATGACAGGTCCTGACTGTTGCAGAGTGAAACAGCCATGTGAGTGTACCTGCAGACTAGCTAAGTGGAGAGCTCTGAGAGACACACTACAGCCCTGTCCTTGGCCCCACAGCCCTCTCCTCCTCACAGCAGGAAGGCAGGAGGAGCCTCAACACAAAGCCTACATAACCAGGGCCAAACAGGGAAGGACCTCACTCTCCACATTTTAATAGTGTGATGCTCACTCTTCACCCCACCTGTTCTTTGCCTTCCTTCCTGATCTAATTGAGATGGTGATCATATCCAGACCTCAGAAAAGTGCTTTGTCGTTGTAACCCAAACCAGAGGCTGGAGGAACCAGAGCAGTAAAAGTGATTCGAAGATGAGGCCACAATCCCTGTTCTGAATTGAGAGGGCTGGGCAATCAGAGGCTGAAATCAACCATTTTGGTCCTGGGAGTGCTGGCTTAACTCTGCGCTTCTGTCTGACAGCACCAAGTCTCCAGCACCCAGAGCCAGCAAGGATAAGGATGATATTTTATACCTATGTTCTTTTAGACAGGGTCTCCCTAGTAGCCCAACTTGGCCTATAACTCGCTATATAGACCAGGCTGGCCTCAATCTCACAGAACTCTGCCTTCCTCTGCCTCCTGAGTGCTGGGATTAAAGGTATGCATCACCACACCCCAGTTATCTTTTTGGAGTTTTGAGATAGGTTCTCACTATGTAAGCCCCAGCTGGTCTGGAGCTCACTATATAGACCAGGCTGTCTTTGAACTCTGAGATCCACTTGCCTCTGCCTCTTAAGTGCTGGGATTAAAGGCATGCACCACCATTCAGCTTATCTCTATTATTTTTTTGACATTATTTTTACTCATTTTTATTTATTTATTTTTGGTCTTTTTGAGACAGGGTCTCCCTGTAGCACCAGCTGGCCTGGAACTCACTATGTAGACCACGCTGGCCTCGAACTCACAGAGATCCACCTGCCTCCACTTCTGCCTCTGGGGTGCTGGGATTAAAGGTGTGCGCCACCACACCTGACTTTTTTATTTTTATTTTGTGTGTATGAGTGTATTGCCTGCATGTGTACAAATGCACCCATGTCATGCATGCAATACCCTCGGAGGTGAGAAGCAGGATCCCCTGGAACTGGAGTTACAGGTGGTTGTTAGCTGCCATATAGATGTTGGGAATCAAATCTAGATCCTCTGCAGGAGCAATCAGTGCTCTTAACCTCTGAGCCATCTCTCCAGCCCCATACCTATTTTTTTTAAAGCTGTCACTTATCGTGTGCCATGTGCTAAGTGTGTGGTATGCATGCTGTCCTTTAATCCTCATACCCCTTCAAGGGAAGTTTTAGCCTCACTTCCTAAATGAGGATACTAGGGCTTAGCAATGCCTAACAACCTGTCCAAACACACACACAGGTGGGCAGCAACAGCCAGGAAGGGAGTCACAGTCTGGCTCCAGAGCAAGTGCTCCCCCCTCCACAGATGGCATATCGTCAGGTGCCATGGCTTAGAAGTACACATGCACCTGCCATCTTGAGTCTCCTCCATCGGTTCATTTACAACAGAACATGAATTGGCCTTTCAGCTCCTTTTCTGCATAATTAGTGACAGGTGGGCAGCCTAGGACCCCACAGAGTGGGAGAGGAGCCTAAGGAAAGGCATTCAGAGACCGTGCAAAGACGGCGAACACCGACTGCCTCGCCGTCATGGAGGTCGGCTCTGCCCGAGGTAGAGCTTGTCCCCCCAGCCCTTAACGTTCAGATACTTGAGTGTCTAGGCTCTGCCACATAAGAGCCCTCCAGAGAGTGGGAATGTCCCACCCACAGGTCCTGTGAATGGGTGCTGTGACCAGAGACAGAGCAGGAACCTGCACAGAATTCTAGCTTGAACCAGGACTGGCAGCAAAGTCCCAATAAAGGGCAGAGCAGCTGCTGCCTGCCGGGTCTGTCTGGGCTATAAACAAACCTGAGGGTCAAAGCTGGCCAATGCCAGCCAGTGGGTGAGGCTAAGGTACCTCCTCTGAGTGTCCAGAACTGAGTTCCTGAGTTCCTGGGCAGTTGAATGAGTAGTGGGTCAGAGAAAAGAGGCAGGGCTATGAGGGGAACCTCTTCCTCGGCCAAACCCAGTCCGACTGGTCTGACTCTGCCAGGCAGAGGAGGCAGGGCACAAGTTCCCATATTCAGTATGCAGTTCATCCAAATCCAGCTCAGACTCCACCACACTATCAGAGCCCCAAGCAAATCCACAGTACATAGGTGGGGAGGGCAGGAAAGGGAAGCAAAACGATGAGGGCTTACCTGCTGTTTAGACAGCAGGTAAGGACACCTACAGGGGCATCAAGGTCCCTCAAGGCTGCTCCCTGGGGACTTCTGGATACAGGCTTCACTTGTTTCTTTGGATTCATAGGCGTCCTTGTTGAGAGCAATTTGACATGCTTGCTAGTCTAGATGGCAACTTTGGGACGAAACTCAGTTCGACAGGGAAATGACCCTAAAAGGATGGAGCTCTCCTTTCTAGAGTTACTGAGCCAGAGTCTGAAATGGATTTAGACCAGCACTGGGCGTGTGACAGGTGCTCAGCCAATACAGGCTGACTTGATCAGAAGTCGAGAGTCTGAGCCCAACCCTGGGCACACAGCAGGTGACAGTGATCTAGGTCATGATGGAGGAATTAGGGAAGGTTTCCCTGCTTAGCTACACCAGTCCAGAGCTACAGCTAGCTCATAAGGAAGGAGCAGAGGGTGCCAGTCACAGGCCTGGCTACTTCTGAAGGGTTACGGCTATCCCTATAAGTCTGAAGAAGTACCACTCAGGTATTTCAGTAATGATGATGACATCTTTCCTTTTAGAATAGAGTATAAAGTGGGCGGGGCTGTCAGCTGTGTCTCTAAAAGCTATCCAAATGGCTAATTGGATCAGGATTGTTATTCCTCATGTTCCCATGACTTAGAGGCATGTTGAGATTCTTAGTCAAGAACAGACGCCAGAGGCTGGAGAGATGGCTCAGTGGTTAAGAGCCCCGGTTGCTCTTACAGGAAAACCCAGGTTCAAGTCTCAGCACCCACATGGAGGCTAACAACCATCCAAAACTCCAGTTCCAAGGAATCCGACGCCCTCTTCTGACCTCCGTGGGCATTGCAGGACATGGGTGCACTTACACACATGCAGGCAATACACTCATACACATAAAATATTAAGTAAAATATATTTTTAAAAAAGAATGGACTCTAGAGAGACCTGTCCACTGTAGGGGGCCAGTGCTAGAGAAAAGCAGAAACCTGTTCTGACTGGATTTTGTCAGTCTACTCAGGATCAAGCCCAAGGGTCCTGATCTCTAGGTTCTCAATACACATGGTTGGACCCCTGTGATATTTCTGCCCCTGGTCCAGGGAGATGGCCACTTGTCTACCCATCTCCCGACTCCTCCCTCTTGGCATCTGGCAGATCCAGGCAGCTGTTCAAGGAACTGGAAGCCAAACACAACAGGTGCTCGGGAGTTCACCATGACCAGCCCAGACCCCAGGCCCTCCCCTGGCTTGGTTCGGTGGGCCGAGAGCTATGAGGCCAAGTGTGAGCGAAGACAGGCGACCCGAGAAAGCCCGCGCAGCCGCCACAGCGAGACCACCTCCCGCCAGCCTGGGAAGGCGCTGAGGACCCAGCACAGAGAGCAGCTTCAGAGAGCTCGACAACTACAGTTCTTCAGAAGGAGGAACCTGGAAGTGGAGGGGAAAAGCCCAGCCAGGGAGTCAGGATCCTGTCGCAGGACAGGCAGAGGGACAGGCCAGGTGGCTGTGCTCAAACAATCCTTGCCTTGTGCCAACAAGACCACTTCCTCTGGACAGCAGGTAGGCCATGTCCAGGGAAACAGTGCTGAGGGCCAGGGACAGGGGTGAGATGGCTTGAAGTCACTAATGTGATTTCAGTTAGGTCTCTTCCCTAGCCATGCAGTCAAGTCTCCATTAGTTCTTTCAGAGATTTTGTGATGTGTCTTTGTTTAGCTATTTTGGGGGCTGTTACATCTGAGTTTTAGGAAACATAATTGCACAATATTGTACAAACAATCCCAAGCCAATAACTAGCATCTAGCCAAAAAGCATTTTTTAATAGGGTCTTGCTGTGTAAAAGCTGACCCCAAACTCATGATCCTGCTGCCTCCGCTTCTGAGTGCTGAGGTTACAGGTGTGTGCTCTCACTCACAGCTATTCACTGTGCAGCCGTCTTGTCTTTTTCTTTTTCCTCTAGATGCTGAGGGCCTTACACAGCACGTTAGGCGAGCACTCTGACAATGAGCCACATCCCCAACTCTAACACTCCCTCTACTGCTGCTGCCTTAGAGCATTCACTCCACCGCCCTTCACTAAATACTTACTAAATGCTTTTAATATAGCAGGAACACAGACCAGGTTTTTTGTCCCGTCTCCCATGACTCACACAGGTGTTCGCGTGGGTGCGCGCGCGCGCACACACACACACACACACACACACACACACACACACACACACAGAGCTAGGTCTCCCTCTACTCCCTTACAAGGCTGTGGTGCCTCTTCCTCTGTTCCTCTTGAACCACTTCAGGTCTGGTAACTTCATTCATCTGAGGCCTCCTCTGGTCTGGGAAGCCTCCTCTAGCTACTCAGGCCACCTCTATTCTCTGAACCTACACAGCTAACAGCGTGTAAGTCATAGAAAGCCCATTAGTCTGGCTTGGGAAGAAGCAGTATTGGACAACAGCATCCTACTGTAGGTAGCAAACTACACATAGTAGGGGAGAGGAATGGGTCCATGTAACACTGAGCAGGTGTACATGCATGTGAGTATGGAGACCAAAGATCCACTCCAGGATCATTGCTTGTTTTTTGAGACAGGGTCTCTCACTGGCCTAGAGCTCCCTAAGTAGGCTGGGGAGCTGTTAGCAGGACCCAGGGATCTCCCTGGGTCCACCTCCTCAGTGCTGGGATAACAAGCTTATACCATCATGCCTGGCTTTATTTATTTATTTATTTATTTATTATATTTTTAATGTGGATCCTGAGATTCAAACTCTGGCCTCATGCTTGCAAGGCCAACATTTTACTGCCTGGGCTATCTCCCTAGCCCCTTCATCAGAGTTAAACCTGCCATACAGAGCTGCTCAGAGAAATGATCCTCAAGCATAAGTTCACAAGAACCAACCATCTACTTTCTAAGGCAAGGCTTCCAAAGAATGGCCTTTGTGGGGGATGGGGAATGGGTGGGGAATGAAGAGAAAAAGAGCAAAAAAAAAATGCAGTTAAGAATTCCTTCTCCGGGGCTGGAGAGGCGGCTCAGCGGTTAAGAGCACTGACTGCTCTTGCAGAGGACCCAGGTTCGATTCCCAGCACCCACATGGCAGCTATGAACCATCCTTAAGTCCATTTCCAGGGGAATCCGAAGCCCTTTTCTGAACTCTGAGGCATTGCACGACACGGGTGCACTCACATACATGCAAGCAATACACTCATACACTTAAAAAATAAAAAAATAATAAATTTTTTTGAAAATTTAAAAAAAGAATTCCTTTTCCACCTACCAGTGGTTTAAGGCTCTGGAGGTCAAGCCAGCTGGTGACTGGATCCCAAAGACATGCCTTGGCCTTTTAGTGCCAAGTTACAGGACTTTTTGAGTCTGTGAGCACAGAGAGTAACTTGTGATCACTACCTCATCCTAACAACAGCCCTACTCCCCACTACCCACATTAAAAACAGTCCCTCTGCTTCCTCTCCACTCAAAACCTCAGCAGTTCTGAAACAATTAGGGGAGGCAGCCCCTCCAGGCCTTCCCTGACAGGAGCCAGAGGCCTGGAAAAGGCGGGATCTGAACCCTGTCACTCACACTCCAGCTTCTTTCTCCACATCACCACCTAGCTGAGTGGCTGGGACCAAACAAGGGAGTCACACAGAATGATGAACAGCAGCCCAGTCCCCCACTTGCCTGGCTGAGGAGAGTCATTCCCTTTGTCCAGGGTAAGGAAGAGCAAGGGCAGGGGCATCCCTGAGGGTCTAAAGATGGAAATGACGACTTTGGTTTTCTGGGCTGGAACTATCATCTACTGTGACCCATGACAACACATGGGGAGCTTACACAGCAGAACATATGTATCACGATTCTGGGTACCCAAAGACCAAAGCTTCACGTATCCAGTGTCTGATGAGGATACTTCTTGTGGGCAGACGGCCACATTTCTGTGTCCCCACATGGTGGAAAGCAGGCAAGCTGCCTCATAGCTCTTCTGCTAAAGGCATAACCCTCATTCATGAGGACACCACTCTCAGACATCAGTATCTCGCAAAGGCTCCATTTCCTAGCATGGTCATGACGGTTCGGGGGAACATGTTCTGTCTACAATGCATGATCGCCATTTTGCTTTGGTTTTTCCAGTCCTGGGGATAGAATTCAGGGCCTCGTCCATGTCAGGCAAGCTCTTTCCTGGCCTCTGGTTCCTCCTTCTACAGTCATCTGGAGAAACTTCTAAGAGGCCCTGCAGAGTGGCTCAGCATCCACTTGCTTTCCAGGTAGCAGGAACCAGCACTGAGGTTTTTCTACCCCTGCATCATCCTTCCTCAAGCACCCAGAGGGATGTGTCTGATCACCACTCCTCACAGGCAGGAGCCCTTCCACAAAAGGACTCTGCCACCAAGAAATCACACAGACAGCACCGGGGTAAGAGTGCAGCCTTGGCTTGATGAACCCTGTCACAGCAGCACAAGTCACCAACAGTGGAAAATCCCCATCTCTCCTCACATTCCCCCCATCCTTTCTCCGTCCCTCCTTTCCTTTGGTTCCTGAATCATCATATCTATCTCTCAGGTACTCAGACAAAGGCAGAAGAGGTACGGCCAACGATAAAGACTGATGCCAGCCAGCAAACCAAGTGAGTTCCTTTCATGGTCCTGACCCCAACACTCATATCTCATCTACTCCTGTCTTCTAAATGTTACTTGAATGCCTCTGCTGGACACAGAGAGTATGCCAGCCTGCCACAGCTAAGGAGGAAGCCCTTGCCCACCCTACTGCTCTTCAGCAAAGATCCCGGAAGCCCTCAAACCCTTCCTGCTCACAGGCTTCACTTTTTGGCCCACTGTCATGTTTTTCTTTTCTTCTCAGCTGTGGAGTTGCAGTTCTGGACAAGGTAGGAAAACCCTAACATGGAGGGAGTTTGGGTCCCATGGAACCTAAGCTCTGGCATTCTGGGATCCCAAGATCAGGCTGGCATGGAGGAGCACCTTCTTCCGAGATGGCCAGAGGTTTCTGAGTGTAGATGGGGGCACTAGAGGGACCCTGCCAGACCCAAGGCAAAAGAGGTCTGCTACACACAAGGCAGCCTGGGCTCTGGTTCTAGGCTAAAGCCTTCCTGAATCTGCTTTTTTCTCTCCCTAGGAAATCATCCAGCTTTCTGAATACCTCAAAGTAAGTGGCACAGTGACCCCTGCTCTCGGCTTCTCCTCCTACCCCTCCTCCTCCAGGTTAACCTTTCCCTCTTGCATTTTGCCCTCCAGGAGGCCCTACAAAGGGAGCTGGTCCTAAAACAGAAAATGGTGATTCTCCAAGACCTGCTGCCTGCCCTGACCCGGGCCTCTGACATCTCTTGGAAGGTAGGGGTAAAATCTTCTGATGAGTGTGGGCTTCTGTGTGTGTCCACCTCGTTTCTCTCTGCACACCATCTATCAAAGGAAGAGCTGCCTCACTGGGAGAGGCAGGTGGAGGTGCCCAGACCCATAGGCCAAACGGTTGCTGTTGGTATACAGGTCATGGTGCTAGCACATCCAGGGAAGACCTAAAACCAAAAGGAGACAGGTCTGCCTTTAAATTTATGGAAAGAAAGAAGCAAGGTCCCAATACGGTCAACTCTACCGATATCATCAACAACCTTTGCATGGGATTCTATATTAATTGCTTTTCCTTTTGCTGCCTCAAAATGCCCAACAAAAACAGCTTTCAAGTAAGGGCTTATTTTGGTTCACAGTTCAAGGGAACAGTCAGTTATGGTGGGAAAGTCACAGAGGCAGAAACTGAGGAAGCTGGTCACAGTGCATTGCAGTCAGGAAGCAAAGACAAGAATGTGGTGCTCAGCTGTTTTCCCCTTTTTATTTAGTCTGGGCCCCCAGCCCATGGAATGGTGTCACCCACATTCTGGGTGGGTGTTCCCACTTCAGTTAACCTAATCTCGAAAATCCCTCACAGACATGCTTGCAGATTTGTTTCCATGGTGACTCCATCAAGTTAGGCAGATTCATTATCAAGATGTATCCAAGCCAGTCTATACCCACTGCTAAGCCCACACAGCATCAGAGTAGAAAGGGGCTTCACAGATGATCCACGCTGGTTTTCTGTTTGCCTATGAGGAAACTGCCTCAGAACAGCCAAGTGGTTTGCCCATCGTCACGAAGCTTCTTAGTAACAGAAATGGAGCTTTTAAAGTTCAGGTCTCTAACTCTATGGTCTGTTCGTTCTACAAGTATTCCTAGGTCGCTTTCTTACCGTTGGGCACTGGAAACTGATTCTTTAGGCAGGTTTTGTTTGTTTATTTTTTTGAGACAGGCTCTCACTGTGTAGCCCTGTCTGGCCTCAAACTCAGAGATCCATCTGCCTCTGTCTCCCAAGTGCTGGAATTAAAGATGTGCACACCACACCCAGTTCAGGCTCCCACTTTATAGCATTTATAGTTTTCTAAGCTAAACACACGCTGAAACGATACGAAAAGAAAAGGCTTCTGGGATGTGGCAGACTTCAGATAGGAAAAAAGGGAGCCAGAGCAGTGTGCACCGTGACGAAGCATTTGCCAGGCAAAGGAGGAAGGAGGGACAGCAAAGGCAGGAGTGTGCTCAGGGCTCGACAAGGTCGGTGCGGTGGGTTTCAGCTCTTTTATCTCGGGACTCTTTATTACACTGCTTTTAATTGAAAATTCCAAAGACCTTTCTATATGACCCATAGCAGAACTTTCCATGTGAAAAACAGAAACATGGGGCTGAAGAGATGGCTCAGCAGTTAAGAGCACTGACTGCTCTTGCAGAGGACCCGGGTTCGATTCCCAGCACCCACATGGCAGCTATGAACTGTCCTTAAGTCCAGTTCCAGGGGAATCTGAAGCCCTTTTCTGACCATTGTGGCATTGCATGACATCATGGCAGCTGAACTGTCCTTAAGTCCAGTTCCAGGGGAATCTGAAGCCCTTTTCTGAACTCTGAGGCATTGCACGACACAGGTGCACTCACATACATTCAGGCAACACACTCATACACATAAAACAAAAATAATAAAATATTTTTTTAAAAAAGAGAAACATAAATTTAGGCATATTAACTTCTATAACAACGAACCATCACATGGTGACTTAAATTTCACATTTTGATGAAGAACAACTTTATTTTCCAAATGCATAGAGAAGTAGCATTGCTTCACCTTTTCAAAGCCATCACCACCTAACAAACAAAAGATGGCTAAATTCCCTGATCTGCTTCTGACGTCAACATCTCATGAGTCACTCTTTTGGTCGTGGTACCTGAAGGCCATTCAGCCTCACAGAGACATGTGGTGGAGAGGAGATGACCCTGCAGATCCCTTGAAGGGTCTCAGGAGTCTCAGCCCCCTGAACCATGCTCAGCAGGTGATAAGCAGGTTGGTGCTAACCGACGCCTAAGGCAGCAGGTATGTTGAGCCAGAGCACAGAGGCCACGGGCCTCTGCACACCTCACCCCACTGGGAAGGGTTTGTGCTTAGAGAAGCGAAGTGGGAGGGTGTAGAACATGTTGAGAAGTTTGCAGTGACATAAAGAACCCTGACAGCCCCAGCCCTTCCTCCTCATGTCAGCCACTGAACCAAACTTGGGAGTCTCCGGTCACGTCTCTGCTTGCCAACTCATTTCCACTGGTACAGCAGGAGCCCAGGGTGGGCGGCTGGGCATGCCCGGTGGTTTCCGGTACTGAGCTAAATTGAGATCATCTCACCCATTCGCCCAACAGACATTTGGTGAGTTCCAACTCTAGGCTGGGCCCCGGCTCCGGAACAGAAAGGAGTCATCCTCGCTCTTGCTCTAAAAGACCAGCAGTCTAGCCAAAAAGAGAGAGCCACAGGCAATGACTGCAGTGGGGTGAGGTCAAAGAGCGGAGTGTGCGCAGCCTGATGCTGACCGAGGGGAACGTTTACTCAGCCTGAGGTGGAGAAGGGAAGGCTCTGCCAAGAGAAGCCATCTTAGCTGGGTCCTGTGGGATGAATAGGAGTTTAGCAGCACAGAAAGTGGAACAGGTGGGGAAAAAGCAGAGAGGGGTGTTTGAGGAACTGCAGTGTCTGCAGACCTAGTGGTGGCAAAGCATTTGGGTGTGGCAGAGTGTCACTGAAAGGAAGGGGTGTTATCAGAGTGGTGCAAAGAGAGGACCTGAGGCCTGGGGGTAGGGATTCCAACTTTTGCTGTAGACAGTGAATTTCAAATGTAATGCATGGAGTCCTTTCTAAAGCAAAACACGCACACACGCACGCACACACACACTTGCATGTGTGTCACAGCAAACTCTTTGGATCTCAGAACACATGAGAACACATGCCATCCATGGATGCAGGCAGGATGCAGGGCAGCAGTGGAGGGAAGAGCCAACCCAGGTTTGAAGTCCTTCACTCTGCGGTGCCTGCCTGTCTTTGAAGGAGTCCAGCCACTGTAGACCTGAACTGAAAGCAAGTGATCTATTCTGTATTTCACAGCTTCTCTAATGGTGAAGACCCTGCTCTGAGAGGGGTTGGCCCTACAGCATCTTCCAAGAGCCCAGCTCTGCTCTGCTCAGAACCTGAACTAGGGCAAGCTCAGAGAACAAGGCAGGTGCACTCTGTTATCTGAAGCAAGATTCAGGCCAGCCTGGGCTACATAATGAGACTATGTCTTGAAAAGCAAAAGCCGTATCTATAACAAACTCCCACAGGAGTTTATTTGCCCCCAGGCTCCAGCCCCAGAGCTGGAGTTCCTCATCTGTGTTCACACCCTCTGTCTTCCCACCCTCCCCAGGCCCTTCCTCCCTACCCCCAGCTCCCAGCTTCCTGTTCTGAAGAAAACAGTCTCAAATTGTTGAGAGCTCTTACCTCTCCCAAAACAAAATTCTTCCCCTCCATCCCTCTGGGAAAGCCTAAACCAGTCAGTTTCCTCCAGTTGGGGGTATTGGGAAACTAACTGGATGAATGTGGCCAGGACCAGGACATAGCCCTCAGCTGGGCTTCCACTTGTCCTTTCCATTGGCTCCATGTCTGAATCTCCAGCTTCCCATGAAAAGATGAGAAGCTCTCCATTAGAACCCCAGGGCCTTGCCTTCCACCCACCCCTGTTGGATGCCACTGGCCCAGGGTGCTGCTGAGAATCCTGCACTTCAGCACAAGCAAAAGCAACTTGGCCAGTGGAGAAAGCTCAACACTGGGCACACATGGAAAGAGGAGTGGGGCACTGGGTTCTAAGATCTGAAAAACCAAGCTGAGGTCTTGGGGAGATAGCAGGCGGGGATTGGCTTCACGCCCTACACAAGCTAGCTCTTAGAGCAGAGGTGAGCTGTGGTGTTTCTGGAAACAGATCAGAGACAGGGGGAACCAGGCAGCAGTGGCGGTGATGCCGTAGACTGGTACCAGGTGAGTGTGGCCTCCCCTGGCTCCCTTCTCCACTGGGGTGGCCGGTCCTCTTTGCTCCAGCTCCTGGGGTGAGGTCAGCTCCTGGGGTGAGGTCAGCTCCTGGGGTGAGGTCAGCTCCTGGGGTGAGGTCAGCTCCTGGGGTGAGGTCAGCTGCAGGCCTGTAGGAGGTGCTTCTTCCCTATGTGTGACACTGGCTCCATTGTGGGGAGACACTGCTCCATTTGCAGCAACTTGGCTGCGACTTTCCTGCCTGCCTTAGGGACTCTGGGAAGGCAGAGCTGTAGACATGAGATTTTTGTTCAAGCCCCAGACTTGGGTGGCCCTCATCCCTACTTGAAGGGGCTACCGAGAACCATCTTGTATTGCAACATGAATGGAAAAGTAATCTTGGGCTGGGCTGAAATACAGAAACAGTTGGAAGAGGAAAATGTTGAATGAAAGCCATACTACTGAACAGAGAGGGGGCTCCCAAAAAAGGAGATAGCAAATGTCAAGGGCGCTGTCTCGGGCCCGTGTTCCTGCCCAGCTATAACAAGATGGTGGACGTGGTTGCCTTCTGCACAGTAGAGTCTGGGCAGAGGACAGTGCGGGCAGTTGGAAGGCAGGAACAGAGGAAGGCAGGGTGGGGCGGGCTGGGTTCAGGGCCTGCAGGCTGACAATGGACAGACCTTGGGGAATGCAGCCGCTCGACCAGTCACTCCAAGGCTGGAACAGTGGAAGTCTCTGTTCTTTTCTTTCATCTGTCCCAAGCCCTGTGGTTATTATAGGTGCCAAATCCCTGACTCTCAGCTCTTTCCCACATGAGACTTTGGGAAAAACATTAACAGCAGAAGGCACTTTAAAAAATTGTTTTTGGCAAAGGTTTTTGCTTTTGCAAGGCTCAGCTGAGTAACACAGGAAGCAGAAAGGGTGGGGGCTACCCTGGCCCTCAGGATTAGAAGAATTAGACAAACTAGATCAAAACAGGAGCTGTGTGATACCACTTCCTGTCTCCCAGGCACCCTGACACTGAAAGGCCCACCTCAACCCAGAGGCCATCCTCTGCCCCTACCTAGCTTTATGCCTGATGCCTCAAGTCTTTATGCCAAGAACCGCCATGAGGGTTACCCATCCAGGAGGTCTAACTGGAGAGGCCCACAACATCCAGGCCTAGAGAGAGCAACGCCAAGCAAACCACAGGACCTGAGTGCAGAGACAGACTATGGAAACCAGCTATGGAAGAGGCCCCATCTCTGAGAAACTTGCCTGACTGATGGCACCTCCCACTGTCCCAGACAGATAGCGCAGAGATAAAACTCAAAGCTGGAAAGGGGGAGGTCTGCAGGTAGAGTGAGCGACCAAGTAGCTGAAATTCTCAGTACTGAAAACCAGAACCGAACCTCTGCCAGCCTGTGCTCAGCCTATGCTGAGTCCCGGGTAAGGAATCTTGGCATTCCTAAAATGCCGTCGGCTGCTAACACGCCAACAAGGCCTACGTTCTACTCTCAGGAGGGAAGGGAGGGAGAGAAAGACATGGAAAGAGCGTCAGACTGACCCAGCTTCGACAGGCACACGTGAAGCCGTCCTCCCACAGCTCATGCCTCCTTTAGTAGCTCTGTCCACTTCTCACTTTAAAAAAAGTTTATTTTTTTATGTGTATAAGTATATTGCCTGCATGTGTGTAAGTGTACCCGTGTCATGAAATGCCTGTGGAGGTCAGAAGAGGGCGTCAGATTCCCCTGGAACTGGAGTTACAGACTGCTAGTTGCCTTGTGGGTGCTGGGTATCGAATCCGGGTCCTCTGCAAGAACAGCCTTTGCTCTTAACCGCTGAGCCATCTCTCCAGTCCCACTTCTCACTTTTTAAAAGAATTTCTCATCTTGAGTCGGGGGAACAGGGGCAGAGTACACAAGTACAGTCAGTCTTCCATATCCACAGGTTTCATAGCCTCAGATTCAACCAACCTAAGATCAAGAATAATTGAAAGGAAAAAAAAAATCCAGTTTTTCTTAGTCCCTAATCAATATAGTATAGCTTCCATTTACACATTATATTGGGGTTTTTTTTGTTTTCGTTTGGTTTTGGGTTTTTTTAGTCTTTTTGAGATGGGGTCTCCCTATAGCCACAGCTGGCCTGGAAATTATGGAGACCAGGCTGGCCTCGATCTCACAAAGATCTGCCTCCCAAGGCATGTACCACCACACCCAGCTATACATTTACTTGTAAGTGATCTAGACATGATTTTAAGGACACAGGAAGATGCACATAGGTCATGTGTAAATGTTACATGATTTTATACAAGGACTTGAGCATTCTGCAGGAGGGAGGTCCAGGAACCAACCCTCAGGATATCAAGGGCTGCATATATGTAAGGATTGCCTCTACAGACCATGTGCTGTTATCTCACTGTTCTGGAGACTCGATCAAGGTGTGCCCAGTGTCAGTTTCTTCTGTCATTGCCCCTGGGCTGCAGATGTCCATCTTCTGCTTCACACGGCTTTCCCTCACTTTATCAGTGTCATGATCTCTTTTTATGAAGATACTAGGAAACTGGGCTAGGGCTCACTGTAGTGACTGCATTTTAATTTATTTCTTTAAAGGCCTACCTCCAAATATGGTCCCATTCTGAAGTATTGGAGGTTAGAACATCATACAGATTTGGACGGTTCAGCCTGTAACAAGGAATCAGAGTGAATATATATTCTCCCAGGAGGAAAGACCCCTTTAGCCTTCCTGGCCTGCACTCTGTAGACAAGTCCAGGACCACACCGGAGTGGAGCCTCAAGAGCAGCAGTGGCTACAGGAGAGGGAGGCAGTGAGAAAGGACACCTCAGAAACACACGTCCCCGGGGCCTTCTTCAGTGCCTCAGTCATTTGATAGAGAACTTCAAAGTAAGGGTCTAGGGGCCAGTGTGGACCTCACAGAGGGAGAACGAAGACGCTCTTCTACCCTTTACCATCTTTGCACCTGCAGGAGTTCAGTTGCACAAGCACTGAGCACTGGCTGTGTGGGGCAGTGGGTAAAGAAAACACAGTCCATCTCTTTGCACAATTTTAGCCCCAGATTACTAACTCATCCTCTTTGCTCTAGGGGCAGCTTAATGAGGACAGACTGAAAGGCAAACTAAGGTCCTTAGAAAACCAGCTCTATACCTGTACCCAGGTAAGCATTCCAGAGAACACTTCCACCACATTCATCTCAGAATACTTGCATCTCAGTCCTGCCCTCTAGAAATACTATCAAGTGGAGGTTGACACACTTTTCCCTCGCTCTGCTTGGCCATGTTCACTTTGGTCCCTCATCTGCCACGTCGTAGTTCCACCTTCCCCTTCTCCTAGCTTCCATTCCTTTGCCCCTTGGGAAGGAATCCCAGCACTAAATATGTCGTTAGCTCCAGGGCCTTAGGAATGGCCGAAACTGCAGAGAAGCTGTTGGTCCACGTCCCAATCTGAGGCCAGATGAGGTGGATCTTACAGGAGGTCCAGCAAAATGATGTTCCTCCCGGGACAAGGTTTTCTAGTAGCAACCTCTGTAGGAAAGCAAGAGAACAGGAGTTTGAAAGAAAGCAACTCCCAGCTTTCCTGTGGCATTACTATTCAGCTCCAGTAATCTCTGGATTTGGTCTAATCGCAGGTTACAAAAAACAAAACAGTTGGTTTCCCTGACAGGTGGGGAGATGTCAAGTAAGAAGTGGGGCACTGCTGAGCCACAGCCAACATGATGGCTTAGCAGTTTAGCAGGGAGCTTGATCCAGGCCTGACAACCTGAGTTCAACCTCTGGAACCCACATGATGGAAGCAGAGAACCACCACACACACCCCTGCAAATTGTCCTCTGACCTCCACACACACTTTATGGCAAGTGTGCTTATGTGTGTGTGTGCAGACAGACAGACAGACACACACACACACAGATGGACATCACAAATAAATAGAAAAAAGATTTTAAAGACAAAAAGTGGGGCTGTAGGTAGCCATGTCTCATTTGGAGTTAGAGGACTAAGGTAGTCTCCATGCACAGCTGGAATCTTCCAGAACAGTTTATATTGTCTATAGGTTTCCTGGTATACAAATTTTTTTCAATGAGAGCTACTCTATTAGCCTTTTAATAACTAAAATATGCCAGCCAAGCTTGTAAGAGACTAACATATAAACCAGAATGCCAATCTTTGTGCATTTGTTTGAGATAGGGTCTCATTTCATAGCCTAGGCTGACCTCGAACTTGTGATTGGCCTCCCAAGTGCTAGTGGCACAGCCATGACTACTGCGCCCAGCTAGTCTGTTCATTTTCACTGGAAGTGAAGCTGGCCAGTGAACTCCATGGCTAAGTCTATTAACTGGGACAATCGCCATGTATGACCTCAACCAGTCACCCCTGGCTTGGGTTTTAATGGAAATTCCAAAAACCACAGGGCATGTTCATCTATAAAAAATTTAGACATTCCCAAAGCTAAACAGAAATGACTTGTAATGATCCCTAAACCTTCATGATCTGAATTTACCCAGATGGGTAATCCAGATAGAAGTGGCTGTAAAAGCTGCCTGCTTTCTCCCAAACCACAAGACACAAAGATGAGGGGCTGGGGACGACAAGACCACCTATGAAACTGCGAATCTATGGCAGCTGTTTGTGGGTCTTTTTCCTATCCCTGAAGCCAGTAGCAAAAGGAATTTTAAAATGCAAATGTATTAACTTTAGAACCCTGGGTTTCCTAGGACTTCCTCAAGCCATGGGGTCCTTTTCACACAGCAGCAATGTGTGTCCCCTGTTCTGAAGGTGTTTCTAGTGCAGAGACATACAGCAGGCACACAGGATCTTTTTAGTGAAAATTCCAAAACACAGGACCCATTCTCATACAAATGTAAATGTGTGAATGATAAGCAGTTACTTGAGCCACTGGGGGCTGGGGTATGGAGGATTTAGTGAAGGCTTATGAGAACTGATGTGTGGGCTGTGTGCGGAGCACAGCAGGGGCAGCCAGGCACAGAGCGTGGGGGAAGGGCTATAGTAGAAGTACCCTGGCAATGGCAGAGGTCCAAGTGCAGTGCTTGGGGGACCACGGGCAGTAAACCCTAAGCAGAGGGGCCACAGAAGGAATCCTTGAGTTTTAAGTTGCCATGTCAAGGAGTGTGGACCTAACCCTTAGGGTACTGAGGAATTTACACAGGAAGTAGCATGATCAGACTTGAACCATAGAAGGAACCCTCCAACTACAAAGAAGGTCCCTGGCAATGGCAGAGGTCCAAGTGCAGTGCTTGGGGGACCACGGGCAGTAAACCCTAAGCAGAGGGGCCACAGAAGGAATCCTTGAGTTTTAAGTTGCCATGTCAAGGAGTGTGGACCTAACCCTTAGGGTACTGAGGAATTTACACAGGAAGTAGCATGATCAGACTTGAACCATAGAAGGAACCCTCCAACTAGAAAGAAGGTTCTGAGGAGAGAGGCCAAGCTTGGAGACAGGAAGACTACTGCATTAACCTATATGACAGTATTATCAGGTTCTGAATGAAAGAAGTGGTGGTGTGGTTGGAGGTGGTGTGAGGCGTCCAGGAAGCTGACAAGACTCAACGACCAACAATTACAGAGATAGGGATATAGATGGCACCCCAGCTGAAGGACTGGGAGATGTGGGATGGGCAGAGATAGTTTAGCAGGAGGCTTGTGAGACTGAGTTCTCTTTGAACATGATGGATTTCAAAAGCCCATGGAAGGCCTTAGACAGCAGAAAGCCTGGTGGTTGCCTCTTACATGGCCTGAAGGATTCTCCTGCTTAGGCAGAAGAAAAGGTCCACCAGATGGCTGGGGGGAGACCTACATTCTTTTCCTGTGTATATGCCAGCTGTCAGGCAGACAGAAGCTCAGTGTGTATTTGAATTGCCTTCAATTTACAGAAATACTCCCCTTGGGGGCTGAAAAAGGTACTGCTGGAGATGGAAGACCAGAAAAACAGTTACGAGCAGAAGGCTAAGGAGTCACTGCAGAAGGTGCTGGAGGAGAAGATGAGTGCGGAGCAGCAACTGCACAGCGCACAGGTGGGGGCGCGGTGCCTGGGGGGGCGCGGTGCCTGGGGGGGTGCGGTGCCTGGGAGGGTGCGGTGCCTGGGGGGCGCGGTGCCTGGGGGGCGCGGTGCCTGGGGGGCGTGGTGCCTGGGAGGCGTGGTGCCTGGGGGGTATGAGGTGCGTGGGGGATGCGGTGCCCTGGAGGGTATGAGGTGCCTGGGGGGGTGCAGTGCCCTGGGGGGTGTGGTGCCCTGGGGGGTTGAGGTGCCCTGGGGGGTGTGGTGCCCTGGGGGATTGAGGTCCCCTGGGGGGGTGAGGTGCCCTGGGGGTGATGTGGTGCCCTGGGGGGGATGAGGTGCCCTAGCGGGGAAGCAGTGCCCTAGGGGCTGGGGACCCACCAAGGCAGCTCTGGGGAGCAGGGGACCAGGTACACAACTCCCTGGAGCCTCATCAAATTCATCCAACGCTTTCTATTTTAAAATAAAGAAGTGCAGTTCAGTGTGCTCCTGGGGAGACACTTCCACTGGAACATTCTCCTCTCCTTCCTCAGCTGTCCCTGGCTCTGGCAGAGAAGAAGTGTGAAGAGTGGAGGAGCCAGTACGAGGCTCTGAAGGAGGACTGGAAGACCCTAGGGGCCCAGCACAGAGAGCTGGAAAGCCAACTGCACGTGCTTCAGTCCAAGCTACAGGTGTCAGGCCCTGGGCATGGGGAGAGGACAAAGGGCAGAGGGGGTGAGGTGAGAAAAGCCGTCCATGGGGGCCCCAAAGGCTGGGTGCATGTGAGCATGGAGTTCTCAGTCTTTACCCTCTGTCCCCTCTGTCTACTTTGTGCTGACTCTTTTGCCTCAGAATTGTAATTCTGAATTTAAAAATAATCCCTGCACAGCTCATGCAAAATGAACAATGTGCCCATTAGAATGACATTATCCAAATGCAAACCACCTGGCTTGCAATATTTATCAGCTTCATCAGCCTACTAATAACATAATCCAGCCCACTACCCAGACGTTGCCCCAGCAGGGCATCCAGTGCAGAACTGCCCACTAGTCTGCACACAACAAATGTCACTAATTTATTTACAGGCATTAACACATCCTTCCGACATGTTTTTTTTCTAATGTTCAATATTTTATTAGTTTATGTGTATGAGCGTACTGCCTGCATGTACGCAAGTGCACTCATTGTGCAATGCCCACAGAGGTCAGAAGAGGGAGCCAGATTCCCCTGGAACTGGAGTTAGGACAGTTATTAGCCACCATGTGAATGCTGGGAATTAAGCCAGTGCTCTTAACCACTGAGCCATCTCCCCAGCCCCCCAACATGTTTCTTAACAGATTACAGAAGACCCTTTGCATTCTCAAAAATGCCAACATTTTTAGTCCATCACTTTGGAAAAACTACTTAACCTCTTAAACCTGTTTCCTCATAAAATTGAGGATAATAGTCTTTATTTCATAGGCTTGTTGCATGGACCGAAGCCTTAGCTATCCACATCGAGTGCTTTAGTGTACTTTCTGGTAAATTTAAGTACCTGGCATGGAATAGCTATTACTTTGCATGCTACCTCCAGTCTGGGTGGAGACCTAATTCTAAGCTGAGAGTGAATCCAGTTGGACCTGTCAATCACCTAGCTAAGAGATCACCTCCCAGGAACATGGAGTCACCTAAAGTCATGCCAGAGAGATGGGAGGAATAGGTAGACCTTCAACCAGATGGTATACTTTTCCTGCCCAGAAACCACTCCCTCCCCCATGCAATGGCATGTGGCACCTCAGTCACGCTGCTGTTTTAAGCCTGCCTGCTTTCCTACTACTCAGAAAAGCCTCATCATTTTTTTTTTTTTTAAATCTTTTTCTCTCCTTTCAGATACTTGACAAAGTCTGGGCAGGCTTTCCCAGATGTGCTGGGCTTTCTCTTTCTTGAAATTTTTTCTCCCCCGCCCCGCCCACCATATGGCTGCTTGCCAAACCTCCATGCCCAACTTAATAGCATGGCCTTCTCTGCACTGCTTCTCCTCTGGAAGCTGCTAATCTGACAGCTTGCTGGTCCCGCGGCGGTTTCTTTTAAGCTCTATGAAGAGTATGTTCGTGCTTTCTTCTGGGGCCATTCTTAAGTTCTTTTATTAGCAAGACTAAGAACTTGGAGAGGGAACCCCAATTTACCAGGTAGCATGAAGCACCTCTGGTGGGGCTCCCTAGAATTTCTGGCAACATGTAGATTTCACTTACCCAAAGTGAATCTTCACTATTTCCCTGAAGCAGGGATCAGAACAGACATAACTGATGAGTGAGGGTGTGACTTTTCAAAGGGACAAACTGTCCGAGTTTGTTCTCCACTGCCGTGACAAAACACTCTGACCACTACAACTTGGGGAGGAAAGGGTTTATTCAGCTTACATCTCCCAGGTCATAGTTCATCAGGGAGCCCAAGGTAGGAACTCAGGGCAGGAACCTGGAGGCAGGAGCTGGAGCACAGGCCATGGAGGAACGCTGCTTACTGGCTTGCTCCCCTGGCCCCTGCTCAGCCTGCTTTCTTATGCAACACAGGCCCACCTGCCCAGGGGTGGCACCACCCACAGTGGGCTGGGCCCTCCCACATCACTCAACAATCAGGAACAATCGGGGCAATTCCCCGATTGAGGCTCCCTCAACCCAAGTGTGTCAAGTTGACACTAAAGCATCCAGCACACAAACCTCACTGCCACACGCAGCATCCACATCTCAAACTTTGCTCTTCTTTACATTATGCGTAAGGCAGTTCTTAGGAAAAGTGTTTTGGGGTTTTCAAACCTTAATTCTTTATGAAAAATGGCCCTAATTGTCCCTTTCTTTCAACTGACAGTGCCAGAAGTAATGAGAAAGTGAAGCATCTTGGAGTTAAGACTTGGGAAACCTTAATGTAGAGATTTGCCATGGTGTCAAATCATGTCCCTTGTGAATATCAAAACTCAAATGCTCTGTTCTAAACACTCAGAACAGAGAAGAATAAAGGAAAAGCATGTTTCCATTTCCTGACATTCCTACCTCTAAAGTTCTAGTTTTCTGTGCTTTTCTTTCCGTGGGACATGCTCCCTACCTCCACCAGCACTGACCTGCTTCTGTGCCCCCTCCTCCTCCTCACAGGGAGCAGACAGCAGAGACTCATGGATGAACCAGGCCCTCCGACTCTTAGAAAATGAGCACCAGGAGCTGCAAGCCAAGATCGAACACCTACAAGGGGACAGAGACCAACAAAGCTCCAATACTCAGGACCTGCAAGGTATGCCTGTCCTTGGAGGCCTGGGGATCATGGGAGCCATGGCTGAATGAGTTCAGAGAAAGGAGCTGGGTGGAGAGGCTTGGTCTTCATGTGTGCTTGGCCTTATAATTTCGTTTTTCCTTGAGGGAAGGCAGAGCTCTATCTTAATCATCCAGATGAAAATTAGTCTGGCCTCACTAGAGGATCTTGTGAGCTCCTCTCCAGGGCACTCCTCCAGGCCATACCACAGCTGCTCCCATATTAGTCACATGTCAGGGCAACATTCCTAATTTGAAAGGGAAAGATCAAACACAGGCAGAATGAAGGCCTCCTAGTGACAGCCAGTATGTGTGGAAGGGACCCACAAGCATGTAAACACAACCCCGAATTCAACCCAGCTCTGTGACGCACACCCTCACCATTGAGTTGTGTGGGTGCCGGTCTGCCCCTTCAGACCCAGAAGGCAGAGCAGCTTCCACTTGAGCTCAGAGTCACAGACGAGTCAGTCCCATCCTCAGGTGCCAAGCTCAGCAGCAGGGCTTGTCTGTTCTGGTTTGCATTACTTCATTTTCAGACCAACTGAAGAAGTCAGAGGAAGAAAAGCGTACCCTGGTGACCAGAGTGCAGCAGCTGCAGGGTAAGTCTCCTTCCCAAAGTCTCAAATTTGCACAGGTGGCTTTGGTATCCCTGCCCCACAAAAGGCAGTCAGAGGAGGGCTGTGGGCCCAGTCTCCGGCGGGTCCATCCAGTTCTGTGCATTCTGAGGTCCACTTCCTATGAAGTGGTGTCATCTGCATGGCTCTTCACAAGTTTGTGAGGGTTTGTTTCTGTCAGTTCTAGATCAGCATCTGTGCCTGGCTTCCCTTCTCCTGCCATGTCAGTGACAACCACCTGCATTCCCACTACAGTCGCAGTTTGTGTGTGTGATGTATGTGTGTACATGTGGGTGCCCATGCACACACACATGAAGACTGGAGAATGTTGGGTATCACTCGCTGTCATATTCCCTTGAGAAAAGGTGTCTCACTAAACGCAGAGTTCACTGTTTCCCTGGTGAGCCTCCTGTCTCTGTCCCCTTGCCCCAAATGGTGCTAAGGTTAGACACACACGTGGCCATGCCAGCTTTTTACATGGGTGCTGGGATTCTGAACTCAGGTCCTCATGTGTGCACAGCAAATGCTTTTACTGAGCTGTCTCCCAAGCCCCCAGAATCTCAGATTTTAAGAAGTATTGGGCTTTCTAAGCCAGCCCATTACCCATTCTAAATGTGCATGAACAAGTCACTTCAATCCTTCTCACTAGCAGAGGCTCAGGAAACAAAAGCACGCCCCAAGACTAAGCTGGGCACCCACACACACAGGAGACAGCAAGCACAGGTGATCCAGGATACAGTTTCCATGAAAAAATTATGTCAAGTCAGAGTGTAACTGCTCAGAAAAAAACAAAGCAGGTTAAAGGTAAAATAGTCATTGCTTTATATAAGATCACCTGGGGAAGTTTTCTTCTAAAGCAAGAGACTCAAAGACATTGTAGGAGCTGACGTAAGGATGGAATATTAGTAACCAAGTACCACGGACAGGGTGAACTAAAGAGCAGAAACTGCTTCTTCACAGTTCTAGAGGCTGCAATCCAGAGTCAAGGTGTCAAGTAAGGTGTCAGTAGGGCTGGCTCCTGGGAGTCCAAGGGAAGGCCCTGCTCCAGGACTCTGGCTGGCAGACGGCCTTCTTCTCATGTGTCTTCACAAGAACACCAGTTACATGGACTAGAACCCACTTCGGTGGCCTTATTTTTACCTGAGTACCTTATACAGACCCCCCCGCCACCAACTCCAAGAAAGGCCACATTCTGAGGTACTAGGGGTAAGGACTTCAACACACACACACCAAAAAAAAAAAAAAATTTGGGGGGGGCCTTTTTGAAACAAGGTCTCTCTGTGGCCCCAGGTAGCCTGAACTTGCTATGTAGCAGACTAGGTCAGCCTTGAACTCACAGAGATTTACCTGCCTCTGCCTCCCAAGTGCTGGGACTAAAGGTGTGTGCCACCACACCCAGCAACACAAAAATTGTGAGTAGCAAAATTCAATCCATAAGAGATGGGAACTCATGTTAACAACTGTGGTCCTGGGTCAAGGTCTGGAATGAGGGCCTCCGCGGTAAGCCTGCCAGCACAGATAAGCTCCTTCTGTCTCCCAACAGGTCTGCTTCAGACTCAGTCCTTACAGCTTCAAGAACAGGAGAAGCTCTTAAAGAAAGGTCAGCAAACTTACTCCCACAAATTCTAAACACTGCTTTCTTTATCTGCCTAGAGGCTGGGGAATGGACTACATGACTTCTTGGGGTCCCACCCATTTCTGGAAGTCTGTGAAGTCAGGGAGGTAGGGGAATTGTGAGGACTGATCCTTGGAGAACACTTTAGTCAACCTTCTATGCTGAGAGGTGTATAAACTGTGAAAAAGGACTGAGACTTTCTCTGAAAACATGTCTATGTTGAACATTTCAATAAATTGATTTTGAACTCAGGATTTCATGTCAGTTTTTACATACTTAACAAACCACACCAAACTTCTCAGCCCAAACCTCGCAGCCTGCGTGCTTAGCCCACATCAGTCTGTTGCCCAGGCTTCCTAAGGACTCATCAGTCCCATGGAACACCAGAGGCTCCTCCACAACACGCAGCCTTTTGTTTTCTCCTTACACCCAGAAAGTAGAATGCAGAAGGCGGAAATAATTATTATGCACACACAGTATGGATAAGAAAATAAAGGTCTCAGCTGGGTGTGGTGGCACCCACCTTTAATCCCCCCACTTGGGAGGCAGAGGCAGAAGGATCCCAGTAAGACTCAGGCCAGTCTGATCTACATAGTAAGTTCTAGGCCAGCTAAAGCTATGTAGTATAAGACCCTGTCTCAAACAAAACAGAAAAAACAAGGAAGGAAGCAAAGGTCTGTGGTCATACAAATTCAGGTCAGAGATGAAATGATAGCCCAGAACTTGAGTCCTAGTTCAGTGCTCTTTTCACTGAAACTAGGACTATAAAATTGCTGAAAATCCATCTTTAATAACACATATTCTAGGATGACTGCTATTTTCAGTCTTTGAAAGGATACAAAGAACACAGAGTTATACAAAAGCCTTCTGCAAACCTGTTTGACAAATTAGATGACACATAATGAAAGAATTTCAATTAATAAGCATTTACTGAAAGTATCAGATCAAGGCTATGGATTCAAAGAAAAATAAGATGCCAACCTTGACCCCAAGTTCAAACCCCAGCTGTGTCTAGACTGTAGGACACAATGCAAGTTCTTTAATCCAGAATGTTGTCTGTTCAGTGGAGCCAAGGACAAACCCACCTTTTCCACTCTCCCCGCTTAGCGTTCTCACCGAGCAGTAGGGTCAGTCTCAGAAAAGGGCCCATCACTGAGAATCTGGCTGCTTTTTTAGATCAGGCTTTGCCTGTGTGGAATCCAAAGCTCTCCCACAATGAAGTGGAACCTGAGGGTACAGGGAAGGAGAAAGACTGGGCGCTCAGAGACCAGCTGGAAAAGATGACTTCTCAGCTTCAGGCCAAGGAAAAGGAGGTGAGACAGCGACCTGAGATTATGAAGGCTCATCTACATTGTGAGAGTTCTTCCAGATTGAGAGGGCTCTCATTGAGGGTTCATCTAGACTGTAAAGGGTCATCTAGACTATAAGACCTCATTCATACTGTGAGGGCTCATCTATACTACGAGGACTAATTCAGACTATGAGGGGTTCATCTAGACTGTGAAAGTTCATCTAGATTGTGAGGGCTCTTTTAGATTGTGAGAGGTCATCCAGATTGTAAGGGGTTCATCAAGATGAGAAAGGTTCATGTAGTGTAAGAGGTTATCTAGACTATGAGGGCTAATTCAGATTGTGAAGGTTAATTCAGATTGTAAGGGCTCACCCAGATTGTGAGTTCTTCTAGACTGTAAGGGGCTCATGCAGATTGAAGGGCTCATCTAGACTGAGGACTCAAGATACTGAGGGCTCATCTGGATTGTGAAAATTCATCCAGATTATGAGGGGGTTATCCAAAGTTTGAGGGGCTTATTCAGATTGCAAAGAATATGTCTAGATGTAAAAGTTCATCAGGTTTGCGAGGGGCTCAGCCACAAGTACAGGGAAGCACGGTAGGCAGCTGGAAAGCAGGCACTTCCAGGATTGGACTGTCTGGACACCCCACCCACAGGTGCTTACTTGCCTTTATAAGCCCTGCTTTTGGGTTCATTTCTCCATCTTTTTCCTTCTTAATTTATCGCAGGCCTTATTCCAGGTTATACTGGTTGCCTTTTAGAAGACCAACTGGAATGCAAATACATTTGAAAAACACATTAAGCTTCTCAAATTCTGTCACATACTAAGTATCATAAAGATTCACACAGTCTTTTAAATAGCAAACACTTCCCTAGGAACATAATCCCAAACATGCATACCTCTAGAAGTACCTAGAGGCAGCTAGCTCCCAAGAAAAGACTTGTCCTCCAAATACTTATGGGCCTTTTGTGCTGTAAGAACTTTTTTAATATCCCCACTTACAAAGCACTTGCACAAACAGTATCACATAAAAGCATTTACATGTACTGGGGCCAGTGAAAAGGTTCAGTAAGTAAAGATGCCTGCCACCAAGCCTGACGACCCAAATTCAATCCCCAGGACACACAGAGTAGGAGAGACTTCACTGCCGAAAGTTGTCCTCTGACTTCCACACATGCATACGTGTATGCGTGCGCATGTACAAAATAATGTAAAGGTTTTTAAAGCATTTCCACATATAAAATGAAATATATGCAACACAACCGATCAGTTAACTCAGCATATTCAGAGAAATTATGTGAGCTGATAGGAAGACAAACTGAAATTTCAGAGAAAGGCTGGGGAGAGTAGTTTACTCAAAACGAGTGAAGGAGTACAGTACCCAGGCAGGCCTCTTCCTGGTCGGTTCCAGACCCAACTGATGACACTTTGCTGCTGTTCTTCCCAGTGCAAAGAGCTGCATTCAGAGTTAGACAACCTCAGTGATGAGTACCTCTCCTGTCTGCGTAAGCTACGGCACTGTCGAGAAGCGATGAACCACAAGCAGGACCTGCCTCCCAGAGTAAGAGTGTCCAGCCTCCTCTCTAGCCCAATGGTGGTGGGAGGCCTGTCTGAAGCCCAGTCTTAGGGACAAAATGCATCAGCCCACACCAACAGCTGTTCATCCTGTCCCACTCCACCTGATTTACTGTGTTGGCAATCCAGCAACCATGAAGGAAAACATATCTCCCAAATCCACACCCAATTTTCATGGCACTCAGGTCTGGAAGGAAAAACGGTGAAGTGGGCATCCTTACTCCAAAAGCTGCCCTGTTCTGGAGCCAGAACTTATTAAGCAAGTATAAACACGATGCTCAGAAATTTTCAGATGATTCTGGAGCATTTGGGATTCAGTTTTTTAAATTAAGTCTGCTCAACTGGTAAAGTCTGCAAATATTACAAAATGCAAAAAACTCTAAAACTTGAAGCACTCCTAATCATAAATTTCAGATAAGGGACGCTTCACTACATTAGTTAAGTATGAAAGGGTTCGATTTCCAGCACCCACATGGTGGCTATGAACCGTCCTTAACTCCAGTTCCAGGGGAATCCGAAGCCCTCTTCTGACCTCCACGGCATTGCATGACAAGGGTGCACTCACATACATGCAGGCAATACATTCATACACATAAAATAAAAATACTTTTTTTTTTGTAAAAAAAGACACTTTTAATCGATTGTGAACACAATGACAAGGGCAGAGGGAGCAGAGCAGTACTGAGACACATGAGTACTATTGGCTGAGTTATTTTCCATCTTCGATGATGCCTATCAGCATTTAAATGTCTGTCCCTACTGGAGTAGAGTCACTAGGCCACTAGTAAACTGGTTTTATCTCAAGGGAGGTGACAGAAAGTAGAGGACACTGAAGCAGGAAAGGTCCCTTTCTTCCACCAGCCCAAGGTTTCACACTGGGCTAGAACACCAAGGACTAGTCCTAACCCTATTCTCTCTAACCTACTCATGGCTGCTCTCTCCTGTCTCCACCTCCTCCACACAGAGGCAATGTGGCCAGTGGCTCCCGGTACTGATGGTGGTGATCGCTATAGCACTGGCAGTGTTCCTGACCAACAAAGACGACCTGATGATATGAGCAACTTGGTAACAGCCCAAACTGCAAACAACTCTGTGAAGAACTCAGATTTCAGTACTTCCCAACTTGGATTTTCCCTCAAAGTGAATCAGATTCCTGGTTTTATTTTTTTTACCCTGCTATAAATAAACTTGACCTTATCAGACTATTCCTTGAACTGTTTATTCCTAAAAGGTACATCACAGCCTGACACTTAAGCATGTGACCAAGTGTTCTAATCCAATGAGAGGGATATAAATACGCAAACACACAAAGTCCTCCTTTCCAGTGAGGCACTCTGTGCTTGGGGCAGGCCACCACCCAAGGGTGTACTGTTTATCCTCCGCAATCTGCCTTTCCCCAGTGTCTCCTTCCTTCTATCTCATAGTCAGTGAAAACTAGGCTAGGCACCTCTGCTAGGTCCAGAGGAGCTCCTGGAACAGAAACAGAAACCACTACTGTCAGCACCCCCAGCCCTGTTCACATATAGAGTCGATTGATAGGGCAGCATTCTTCCTGGGACACTTGGGATGACTCTGGTTGCATCTTTGGCCAGGGACAGGCACGTATGGAACACCTTCTCCACAGGCAGAAGCAGTCAGAGGGCCACAGCAGGCAGAGTGACTACCTCTGAGGAGATGTTGAGGTCAGCAAAGTCATTCTGAATTGTAAACCGGGCTCTGAGGTCCTTCTCCCAGGAACTCAAAACACCTCTCAGGGCTGGGACTAAACTCTCCGGGACACTAAAGGAATAGAGGCGCACTGTGCGGTGACCTGGCAGCCATGACATCTGGGCAGTGAATATGCGCAGTGGGGTCAAGGCTAGACAGTTGTCATCTCCCTGGTCCAGGCGAAACGTGTAAGAGGCAGGATAGCCCAAGAGGATCCCAAAGGCAGTGCAGAGGTTCCAGTGTGAGGCGGGCAGCTGGCTGGGGGAGGCTCCTCGGGACCCGTCCCTCTGCAGCCCTTCAAAGTGAGCGGAGATCTGGGCCAGGAGGGCCTTCACGTCCTGACGCTGCTCCACTGCACACACGCACGGGTGGGGCTGGGACTTGGAGACGTCCACAAGGACTACAGCCCCACACAGCGCCTGCTTCAGGCGCTCACGCACATGCTCGAGACTGACCACTAGGACGCTCTCTCCCACCTCAAGGATGTGCAAAGCCCGGGTCGGGAAGCCCAGCCTCTGGAGTTCCTCCAGGTAGCTCTGGAGCGCTGGTGCCCCCGCACAGCTGCAGTCCTGGAGCACAGCTGGCTTCAGCCCCCTGGCCACCGCCAGCACCTCTGCAGCCAGGTGCAAGCAGGCAGCTCGGGCCGGTGTTCTCCCTCCAGGGCCCAGGGTCCGCCGGGCGGCTGCCACCAGTTGCTGGGGGCTTGGTGCTGACATTAGACCATGAGAAACAGATGCCCCGCCTCCCTGCTGGCCACTGGGTCACACCCTGGCTGCCCCGAGTCACATGGCTTCCAGCACTTGAAGCCTGCGAACAAAGCGGTATGGGCAAGTTGTCAACAGTCTGGATAGGTCCCCGTCACCATCAAGACAGGTGGCCAACTCCATCAAGACAAGAAGATGGTAACCAAGTCCATCAAGATGGTCCCGGTCACTATCAAGACGGGTGACCGACTCCATCAAGACGGGCCCCCATCACCACATGCATCACCTCTGGCTGCGCCTCTACATTTTAAAGGCGCGGGTGGTGGCTCCGACCTGGAGGCTGAGAGCGCAGCCCGCCACGCCGCAGAACCGCCCTGGGGCGGAACGCCAGGCTCCCAGGAGGCAGTGCGCGCAACGGCCTCGAGCTCCAACCGCTGGGCCGTCCCTACTCCGGGGACGGACCGAGGAGAGCTGAGCCGGGGCGGAAGCGCCACGTTAAGCCTCGTCCTCCTTCTGACGCGCTGCCCGGACACGCACTCAGACAGACACGACCAGAGCGCCACACAATTCTCCCTCGCAGACCCTGGGCTCCCACTTCCGCCGCAGATTCGCGGGAGCAAGAAGTCCTTCCGGTCCCCTGCCAGCAGGCTGCACCGCGACCCGCCAGCGCGCGCCTCACCTCAGCACTGAGAAAACCCCGGCGCGCAGGAACGGGCCCCGCCTATCTCAGCCGTCCGTGACGTCATTCAGTCCAAGGGAGAGAGCGGCGTAGAATATCGGAAGTACAGCCGTCTGGGACCCGCCCCTTCCGGTCAGGCACGCCATCTACAAGCGCCGAGGGGCGGAACTGGGCGAGAGGATCGGGAGAGGGACTGAAATGAATGCGGGAGAATGGGGAACTGGGGGTGAGGGGCAGAAGTGGGCAGGAGGATCCGGAGAGGAGCGGAAGTGGGGGGCGGGAGATTGGGAAGTCAGGCTGAGGGGCGGAAGTGGGCGGGAGGATCGGAAGGGCGGAAGTGGGGAGCGGGAGATTGGGGACTCGGGCTGACGCGTGGGAGTGGGGCTTGGGACTCCGGCTTCCGGCGCCGGGCTGTACCTCCCGTCCTGGAGTTGGTGGCGGTGGAGGCGCTCGCCGGGAGGCTGGCGCTGGGTCGCGGCATTAAGACAGGACGAGTCGTTCCTCCCAGACAAGCCCCTCGGAGCAGCCGGCGTCTGCGGGTTCTTTAGGTCCCTAAGCCCTAAACTTGAGCATGAGCACTGGGCTCTTTCCTTATTTGTCCGTGCGCATGCGTAGCCTGCCTTTGGGCGGGTTCCGAGAACCGAGCGGGTCACCAGCCTGACGCTTTCACCTGCTGACCCTTCGCACTGGCCCACTGTTCTTAGTTCATTATTTTGTTTTATACAACGTCTCGTGTAGCCCAGGCTGGCCTGAAATGCGACTTCAACTGGATTGAACCAGTTTCATGCATGCTAGGCAGCACTCTACCACCCAAGCTGTAACCCGGCCCTTGCGTTTTCAGTCTTATGGCCCAGACTTTGGAGGTATCTGTCGCGTTGCACCAGGCAGCCCCATCTTCGTGGAGCTCAAGCCTGAGTCCAGTTTGCTGATGGATTTTAAAGATTCATTTTCATCTGTGTATGTCGACACCCAGGAAGCCCAGAAGAGGGGTCGGAGCCCATGGAGCTGGGGTTAGAGGCGGTTGTGAGCTTCAGGACATGGGTACTGGGAAAGGAACGTAGGTCCGAGCCTGGAACTCTATGTAGACCAGGCTGGCCATCATCTCTCCGTGTCCCTAATGCTGGTAATTAAAAGTGTGCACCACCACAACTGCCTGTTTCGCTTTTTGAGAGAAGGCTGGCCTCAGACTCTCGAGTGTTAGGGTTAGAGTCTTTACCACTGTGCCTGGCCATTTGCAGATTTCAAATGAGAAGATCCAGAGGCATGTGGAAGGAAGTGTTGACGTGGAAATTAATGTCTTTTTAAGGACCTGTGATTTAACCCACACCATACAGGGAAAGCTTGGGAAGAAATGGCCCCAGTTTCTGGGCAGCAGGATGGGGACCTGTGCTGGAAGTTTCACGCCTCACTAGATCTACTTTGGTGGCATCTTGAGACTGAAAAGGACCCGCATGTGCGAAGAACAAGTTGTAGGGCCTTACCAGCCTGACTTGGGTTCTTAGTTCAAAGGGAATTCAGATACTGGAAACTGATAAAAACCAGTCCTCTGTATTTTTTCATTCCCATGTTCATTTTACTTCCCCATGGTAGTTAGCGATAAATCTCCATTGGAAGACATAGTTTGTTTATTACAACACATATATTTGAGAACACACTGTGTATCAGACACTATTAAAGACCTGGCAGGTAGATTCCAAGACATACAATTTCTACTCTTAAGCAGGGAAGGACACAGGCAGGCAGGACAGAGATGGGGAGCAGTTTACACAGGACGTGGTTATTTTGAAAGTTGAACATAGAACTAAGGACCTAATTACATGGAAACCAAGACAGATTCAACACTTGCCTTCCCAGTTTATCTCTAGTGTGTTCTTTCTACCTTTGAACTAATCTAATGTGATAGAGTGCCATGAGGAAAAGGACGAGCTGAAGAAACTTCTTTCTGAGTCAAGGTTAAGGCAAGGGAAGAGTCAGCGGGGAGCAGCAGGAGACAGAGCCCCAGGAAAGGAAGGGTACCTGGCGTCAAAGAAGTTCTGAAGATGACAAAAGGAGATCCCAGTACTCCAAAAAAGATTCAAAGCAAGGCCGAAACTGTCTAGTTAAGAGCACATAAAACCATTCATCCCTGACACCAGCTTTCCCAAAAGCTCAGTCCTTGGCACTTCAGAACACTGTTTTCAACATCCTGCCAGCTAGCTCTTTATCTGGTCTTCCCTAACAGCCTGTTAACATTTCACAGAGGGAAAGGGAAAAGCCCATAGTCAACAGCTGTCCTCCCACTTTCCCTATAATGGGTTATTTCTGGGAGGGGGGGTCTTTTTGAGACAGGGTCTCCCTGTAGCCCCAGCTGTCCTGGAACTCACTATGTAGACCAAGCTGGCCTTGAACTCACAAAGATCCGCCTGCCTCTTCCTCCCCAGTGCTGGGATTAAAGGCGTGCACCACCACGCCAGGCTATAATGGGTTATTTTTAACTGAGCTCCCAGATACAGGTGGAGCAGCCACACATCATGACTGAATTTCACACTTCAACAAAATGATGATGCCCCACACCCTGGAAAAGCTTAGTCTTTGTGATTCCTGGTCTCTAAAAGCCCAACATGAAGTTCGGCACCTTTTACCTAGGTTTTTTTTTTTTTAAGTTAGCATACAAAGAGCTTTACTGTGACGTTTTCATAATATATATTATTAGACTTGGTTCTTATTCACACATCCCCACCCTTCCCAAGCCGCCCAGATTTCTCCTGGCCATACGTCTAATAATCCCTGATAGACCCTTAAAACAAAGCTTAAACATTCTAAATAAGTTGTGCCCACTCTTGTAGTTGAGGTTTCAGATTTTTACAATAAATCTAGCCAGACTTTCAGTGACTTGAAAAGTAGGAGGTGCTACTCTGGGTTTAAGGGTAGCAGACCACACGGGCTTCCTCCCTATGACCTGAGGTATTCAGTCTAGCCTATGACTAGAGATAAGTATCTGGTTTTCCCTTTTGGTTGTGGAATTAACATTATGTACCATTTCATCTTAGAGACACAAGGGGCAGAGGCAGAACAGAAGTAGGTGAAGCAGACACGGAGAGATAGCTGTGTTCTAGGGTACTGTTCACCTTCCTTGGTCACAGCCAGACTCCTCCCCTGCTAAGGGAGATGAACAGGTTTGAGCCTCTACCAGAAGAGTGCGCCCAGCCCTTCACCCTGGCCTTAACACACTCAACACCTCATTTTTCCTAACTGAAAAACCAAACGATAGGAAGACTGAGAAGTCTTCAGCCAGGTGTGGCCTTTGATCCCAGCACTCGGGAGGCAGAGGCAGGGGGATCTCCGTGAGTTCAAGGCCAGCCTGGTCTACATAGTGAATCCAGGATAGCTGGGGCTATAGGGAGACCCTGTCTCAAAAAGACCAAAAAAAAAAAAAAGAAAAGAAAAGAAGTCTTCAAGCAAGAAACATCCCTTTTGAGGCAGAATATATCCTCCATGCCCAGCCCCCTCAGGTCATCTTCAGAGAAGGAAATGAGAGAGCTCCTACATCTGAGTCCACTGCTGAGTCATGTGTGCCTGTCTGAGACACACACACACACACACACACACACACGGCAGCATGTGAGTGGTGACAAGGTAAACACCTGACAGCCATTCTTGCACAGAATCCCTGGGCTTCTGTGCCACCAGTTCACCTTCCACACTCAGTTTATGAGCCTTCACTCCACAGGCCAGATGACTTTCAGACTTTGGCACTCATTTCTATTTGGTTCCTAAGCAACCAGTTAGCACTTCTCTTCCCCCAACAGGGAGCCAGCTTACTCTACTAGCAGAACAGGTCAGAGCTCAATCCTGGACAGATCAGTGCTTGAGGGAACTTTGATGAAAGCAAGAAAACAAAACCAAAGAAGGTCTAAGAACAAAAGGCAGAAGGTCCTGTTCCAGGCAGTTGTCTTATGCAAGTACAGGAAAGTAACTAAGCCAGAGTTTTATAGCTAAATGCAATTTTAGGCATCATTCCAAACCTTATTTATTTACAAGTGATACATCTGAAGCCCAGATGTTAAGTGGCCTGTTTAGGGTCACCTTGGAAGTAACTCTGCAGCTAGAATCCCGGTGTCCAAACTCCCAGAACAGATCTCTCCTACACCATACTACCATGGAAGGTTTCAAAAGAAAAGGAAATCTCCTGAAGGATGATTTCTCGATAAATCAACTTTTAAAACTAGGCATATTTGGAGAGCCATGGACTTCTAATGTTAGAGGGAAAGATTTAAAAGTTGGTTGAATCCGAATAATAAAAAAAATCCTTATGTACAATATAAAAAAGAGAGAGAAGGAGGACACAGATGGCAGTCACGATCACTGGGCGGGCAGTGCAGGGGGCAACTGCATGTTGGGGGTGGGCTGCATGGGCTGCCAGCTCTCCTGGGTTTGAAGGATTCGATATAACTGCTTGAGCTGAGCGACGATGTTGTCTTTGATGTCTGGAGTGGAGATCTGCAGGCGGACACTGCCACTGTCAAAGGATCGTGTGAAATCACCAGAAAACATCTCGTAGATCATCCGAGCCACTACCGGGATGACCTGCTCAGGACAGAGTACATACTGAGGAACAGGTGTTTTCAAGTAGTAAGAGGCCTGAAGAAGAACCACTGAGACCCTAGGCAGCCCCTCCCACCCTAACTTCTAGATACGGGGTACACCTCCAGCTCTGCAGACCATCTGGTCAAGCTTCACTCTAGAAGTTGGGTCAATTCAAGGTAAGGAACCTATATACCACAGAATCATATCACATGCCTATATAAATGGATGCTTACTTAGCAAAACTTCAACTGACTTCCGCCTGTCTCATTGCACAACTCAGGCGCAACCCCAAGTGGCCTTGCTGCCAATCCTAGAACAAGCTTATGTTTAAGAAGAGATGAAGCCAGGCGTGGTGGTACGCACCTTTAATCCCAGCACTTGGGAGGCAGAGGCAGGCGGATCTCTGTTAAGTTCCAGGCCAGCCTGTTCTACATAGTGAGTTCCAGGCCAGCTGGGGCTACCCAATGAGACCCTGTCTCAAACAAACAAAAAGATAACACAAGTGCAATGGCCTTCATGGTTAGCAAGACCCTAATGTCAATAGAGAATGAAAGGTCAGGCCTCCCTTAAATCATTCACCCATGTTGAGGAGGAAGCGGTCACCATGGTTCTACTGTGCGAAACTTGAGTCTGCTGCTGCACAGACGGGATTAACACACACCTGCTGTATGCTCAACCAGGACTCCTCCCAGACCAGGAGCACTGGAAAAAGAGTTGCTGACACACTCTTTTCTCCTCACCTGAACCAGAATGAGCTTCCTCTCCGGGGGCTTCCCATCCGGCCACTCTTCCCCGAAGCACAGGTAGATCTCAAAAGGGGGCTGCTTCTCTACCTGCCCTTTCTGGTGGGCAATGAGCTCTGCAGAAGGTGGAAGAGACTTGCAGGTCATTCTCCGTCTGTCAGTAACTGTTGTCTTCTATGCAGCCCTGCTGCCAGCAGCAGCCACCAGCTACATGTAGCTACTAATTTTAAGTGAAATAACTCCTTGGTGACATCAGTCACACATTCTCAGTGATACATGTGGTCAGGGGTTACCAGCTCAGCACCAAAACACAACTGTGTTCCAGTATTTCAGAGGGCTCTGTTGTATACTGCTGATGTAGACCTGGGGTTCAAACCACATCGCAAATTTATGTCTCAAGACTTTTCCTAAACTTGCCCCCTTAACCACTCAAGTATTCCCTAAAAGAAAAGCATATGTATTCTGCTGACTGTGATGAACAAGGTCACCTTCCAAAGTGAAACAAGCTGACTACAGTTGGGGGGAGGGGAGTGTTGGCAAGATTGTCTTTCTTCTGCTCCTGAAGGAGCCATAACCAACCTAAAAGCAGCTTCCAAGCAGCCAGCTTTGGAGTGGGACTCCCTTCGTCACTGCCTGAATTATTGTCCTATCTTAGAGTCAAGGCTTTCTTCTTTGACTTCCTCCACAAGAAATTCCTTAGTTAAAATTCTTTTACTGTGCCAGGACAGCTTAGGAAGCAAGGGGGGACGAAGAGAGGGAAGGAGAAAACCCTCCAGGGGGCAAGTCCCACCACCAACCTTCTACAAGCAGACTCACCACTCAGAAATGTCTCCAGACAGAACAGCTTGACCTTCTTCTGTCTCTCAATCAGGTTGGGAGCAGCAAGAGATGGGGCACACGGCCCTGACCAGTATACCTTGCACTGGCACAGCCTTATGGCGTAAATGGCATGCCCGCTGACCTCCAGGATCAGTCCTCTGTCCATGACGTCCAGCAGCTTGCTGGTGAACAGCCTCTGCTTCTCATTGGTGACATGCTCTGGCCCCGGGAACTTGACCTGCTCCAGGCTGACAGGACCGAAGAGCTCCTCCTGGTCAGGCATGGGCCCCAGGTCCCCATAGAAGAGCCGGCAGCCCTGGGGATTGCTCACTGTCATGGTCTGCCCATACTCCTTCCCACGGTACTGAAACTTGATGTCCAAGTCAGTCACTGCAAGGTGAGAGATGACAGTGAGTCCTGGTGCCCTGCTTTGTTGTCCCCAAGACTCCCGAGTCCACCAAGATCAAGCCATCCTTCAGCCAACTTTCAGGAAAGTCAATGCAATGCAATGTCCACACACCCTGGGAGCAGAGTTCAGGACCTTCTAGAGTAGCTCTGCCCTTGCAATAGTTAGCCTTCCTGCAATACAGGCAGCTGTCCACACACCCTGGGAGCAGAGTTCAGGACCTTCTAGAGTAGCTCTGCCCCTCACCACACCCTCAAACAGGGCAAGAACTTAGCTCTGCACAGTGCTGGTCCTGGTATTCCAGGTCACACAAAATTAAAGATACGCTGGCAATATTTGCAGGGAGAATGGCAAGACTGCTCCCTCCAACACAGTTGCCAAGGCCACAACATCTCCTGAGCCATATGTGACTGATGTTACCAAGGAGCTAATACTTAACGTTAACAGCCACATGTGGCTGCTGTACTGTGCAGCATGAACGATGATGTCCACTGAACACATGTAGAACGATCACCCAACCGAATCCTCACCACAGGCACTGCAAGGAGCTAAAAGCTACAGCGTCTGGGTTGCATTTCACTTTCCTTTCTTCCTTTCTTTTCTTTTTTGAGGCAGGGGCTCAGGTAGTCCAGGCTAGACTTGAATTCACTATGTAGCTGAGGATGGCCTTGAACCACTGATTCTTCTGCCTCCACCTCCTGAGTACTGGGATTACAGGTTGTATGCCAGTACGCCCTATACGGCACTGGGACCAAAACCAGAGCCTCCTGATTGCTAGGCAAACACTCTACCAATTGAGCTTCATCCCCCAGCCCTATGTCTTGCTTTTTAAAACAAGAAGCATTACCAAGCCATCTTTCTGAAAACCAGGTGTTAGCATGCACGGTGAACCTGTGCTAACGCATGCTACGTTAGGAAGGGAGCTCATTGAGAAGTCCGTTTGCACCCAGTAAGTCTCCACTGACCCCAACAGGCCTTGGCAAAGCTACTCAGCCTCTTGGACAAGAGTTTAGATTCACCCCCCACCATGTAGAGAGTGAAAGGTGACAGGGTAGTAACACTGATCGTTCAAGAGTGCCCCTAAAGCTCCTCAAAATCAAGAGCTTCCATGACCAGATCCATGGCCTATAACTTCCCTGTCTTACAGGAGGCCTGTCACTAAATCCCCAAGCCCCACAATGGTGAGTAATCTGCAGCTCTGGCCAATCAGAACAGCTGCATGGGCAAGACATATGGGCCCATGTTTCTTTACTTCCCTGGTGACTCACAGCCCGTGAGCAGACATAGGTGGGGCAGATAGCTCTTCTACATATAGCAAAGAAATGAAGGCAGAGGGGGTGGGGATGTGACTTGGTGGCTAGGCAAGGGCCTAGCATGCAAGAGGCCCTAGGTTCAACTGCCTGCAGTGCAGGAAAAGAGAAAAGGAGGCAGAAGGCACAGGAAAGGCTGAGTAAGAGAAGATAACAGGAGATGAAGCCCCAGCTACAAAGAGCAGGTTCACATACTTGGGAGAGAGCTGATCCACAGCTCCGGAGAGCTGTAGAAGGGCTGAATGGGTGCCTGTGGCACCTCCATCTCCAGGGGCTCCGTTTTGGGCCACACTGCTTCAGGGCTGCAGTTGCCCACACTGCAGTTGCCCACACTGGCAGGTGCCATGGGAGAGCCTAGAATAAAAGAATGTGGATGAGTACACAGGGCATACACGGTACCTGTCAGAGACTGAACAAGCAAGGTCAGCAGACAGGAGTCCAACACTGAACTGGCGATGTCCCCCAGCCCAGCAGTGACCCCCATGACTTCAGACAGTAAGGCCCGCTCCTGCTGGCGATGTCCCCCGGCCCAGCAGTGACCCCCATGACTTCAGACAGCAAGGCCCGCTCCTGCTGGCGATGTCCCCCGCCCCAGCAGTGACCCCCATGACTTCAGACAGCAAGGCCTCCTCCTGCTCCCTTGTCACCCCTCTCCCATGGACGCGCGGCTCCAAAAATCTTTATTTGCAAAAGATCAGCATAGAGAAAAGTGAGTTTTCCCTGGGAATTAAACTGAAAGACGCTCTTCTACAAAATCTGTACAATGATGAAATGTCTTCCATAAGGTGAACTCAGCTGAATCAGCCAATTAGCTTCAAGTATTCATGTACAAATGTTCTGATTTAGTTATTTTTTTTATTTTATGTGTATGAGTGTCTTGCCCGCGTGTGTCTAAGTGCACCCATGTCATGCAAAGTCCACAGAGGTCAAAGAAGGCATCAGATTCCCCTGGAACTAGAGTTACAGACAATTGTTAGCTGCCATGTGGGTGCAGAGAATCAAACCTAGGTCTTCTGCAAAAGCAGCTGAGCCATCTCTCCAGCCCCATCAGATGTTCTATTAAAGCAAACAAATGTATTTTACAATCATAGACTGTCTGGAAGGAGAACTGGCAAGATGGCTCAGTGGGTAAAGAAAGGTGCTTGCTGTCAAGCCTGACAACCTGAGTTCGATCCCCAGTACTTACATGGGAAAAGGAGAGGACAATCCTGCAAGCTTTCCTCTGACCACATATGTATTGTGATGCATGCATGTGTACATACATATATAATTAAGTAAATGTAATTTAAAAGTTAAAATGTCTGGCTGGTATCAATACTCAAGACCCTAAGCCAGATTTGTCTCCTCTAGGGAATGAGCTAGAAAAGTTCAGGGACAAAACACAAGGAGAGCCTTTCAATTGATTATCTTCTTAAACTAGTATAAACTTGAAACCATGTTAAAGTGCTATTTATTCAGCAGTATCCAACTGAAGCTTTTTAAGGAAGAGAATGAAAACCCTAATCCTCAACAGGCATGGTGGTGCACACCTATCATCCCAGCACCCAGGAGGCTGAGGCAGAAGGATCACTGGTGTCAAACCAACTTGGACTTATGTGGGAAGGCCAGCAAGACCTATCTCAAAAAACCAAAACCAAACAAACAAAAGGAAACCCCAACGCTGTCCGCCCCCCCACCCATAAAGTCAGCTTGCCCCAGGGAGGTCTCTCCTCCCGGCCCCATGTCCCAGGCAGCTGTTCCTCCATAACTATTCTTCTTCTGCCCAGCAGCTCAGAAATCACAGAGGCCAACGTCGGAGTCTTTGCGCTTAAGTCTGGTAAATCTAAGACCCATTTTACATTTTTGTTTTTAATGTGTGTTCTGCAACTCTCCAAAAGAGATTCAAGGTGACCTAAAACATGAGGGTGCACAGCATTTGTTTCAATGAAACATGAACAGAAATAAGTCAGGATCCTGGAAACAGGACATCCAAGGGCTGAGCACAGAATGAGCTGTCAAGAGAAAGGGCCCCATATTCCAGACATCAAACTCTTTCATTTGTTTTTATTTTTTGTTTTTTGAGATAGGGTCTCACGTATAGCCCTGGCTGACCTGGAACTGTAGGTTCCACCCTCACTCTGTAGACCAGGCTGGCCTCAAACTTGTAGTGCCCCTCCTGCCTCTGCCTCCTGAGTTTTGGAATTTCAAGCATGCACTGCCACACCAGACTCAGATGTCCAACTGTTAAATTTTCACTAAGTAGGAGCATAACATGTGGTTACACTGGCCAGAAGATCTCCACGAAAGTTCTCTTTATCCACATTGACAAAAATCCAAATAGCAGATAAGTGAAGGAGGGCAACTGACAAAGGGTCATTTCTTGATTCTACACAGGACTCCGAAATCCTAAAGTTAGCATCTTAGTATACTGAACTGTCTAGGTAGCACAAGCTATTTCATCTGATCTGCGGAATACAGATGACGTAGAAACTGGACACGCGTCATCCCACCAGGTGCCTCTTGGTGCACAGACACGGTGAGAACGCTGCAGAGGGCAGTCCAGGTATCAGGACACGATTGGTCTCCTCAGACAAGCAGCCGGAGGTTCAAAGCCTGCTGTACCACAGCAGGTCCCAATCCCTCAACTCATCGTTCCTAGAAAGCTGAATCTAAAACCCATAAAAGCCAGGTGGAGTACCATACACCTTTGATCCCAGCACTCAGGAGGCAGGCAGGGGATCTCTGGAAGTTTTAAGACCCAATCTCAAAAACAAAACAAAACTGTAACAGAGGCCACAGCTGCAGCAAGGCCATTAGGTGTCACCCACCTGGCTGATGAGTCACAGCAGTTTTCCTGTTTCCTTTTTCTCTTTGTCTTTTTTGGGGGGTGGAGGTAATATTGGCCAAAGCCTAGACTTACACCCCTAACACTTTCTTTGGGCTTTCTTACGCTTTCCTTGAAGCAACCCCACTCCTCCCACAGTGTGGCTGCTCATCCACCCCCTGGATGATCGCCATTGCTGGCTTCAATCAAATGGCATCACTTTCTCCCTTCTTGTCCATCTCCCTCCTCTGCACATCTGCTGGAATTTACAGCTTGCCTATCCTGGGAGTTTTCTCTTTTTTTGTTTGTTTTTTTTGAGGCAGGGTCTCCCTGTAGCACCAGTTGACCTGGAACTCACTAAGCAGACCAGGCTGGCCTTGAATTCACAGAAATCTGCCTGTCTCTGCCTCCCAAGTGCTGGGATTAAAAGCATGTGCCACCATGCCCGGCAGTTGTTTCGTTTTGTTTTTTTTAATTTTATTTATTATTTTTATGTGTATGCATGTATTGCCTGCATGTAGGTAAGTGCACCTTTATCATGCAGTGCCCACGGAGGACAGAAGAGGCTGTCGGATCCCCTGGAACAGGAGTTATGGACAGTTGTTAGCTACCATGTAGGTGCTAGGATTCGAATCCCAGTCTTCTGCTAGAACACCACCATGCCCGGCTGTCTTGGAGCTTTTAAAAACAAAAATTCATAAAAAATTTCTTACAGCTAAATCCACCAGAGCCTATTATTATCATTAGCTAAAGAAATCACAAGTTTCCCATGGATAGGGCTTCAGGAGAATGATCTCTGTTAAGGAAGTGACAAGAGTTTTTATACCAGTAAAAATACTGGGAAGGAGCCAGGCGTGGTGGCACACGCCTTTAATCCCAGCACTTGGGAGGCAGAGGCAGGCGGATCTTTGTGAGTTAGAGCCAGCTTGGTCTACATAGTGAGTTCCAGGACAATGGGCTGGAGAGATGGCTCAGTGGTTAAGAACACTGGTTGTTCTTGCAGAAGACCTGGGTTCAAATCCCAGCACCCACATGGCAGCTAACAACTGTCCACAACTCCAATCCAAGGGGATCCAATGGCCTTTTTCTGACCTCTGTGGGCATTGCACAATACGGGTGCACTTACCTACAGGCAATAAATAAAATGTTAAAAAAAAAAAAAATGATGTTATCACTTACCCTTAAAGAAACTGGAAAACTTAACGTTTACCACTAATGCATGTAGAACTGGGAATTGAGTTATTTTCTTTTTTTTTTTTTCCTGTGCACCACCTGACACCCCACTCACCATTGATGTTCAGGAAGGGGAAGGTGTCCTGGATGGGGACGTGGTGCTGCGACTGATCGAGTTCATCCTCTTCGTCATCTTCGTCCACATCATCTTTCTCATCCCAGGGAGCAGACCCTGTGGATCCTATCCAAGACACACAAGCCCACAGAAGAGAAGTTTAAGTTTTGCTGCCATCTCTGCAGCTGGCCCACTGCCCAAGCTAGAGACACTCAGGCTCAGTATGCGCCCACAAAGCCCTAGCTAGGCAGAGTGTGAACCGGGGTGGAGTACCCCTACTTCTAGTTCCTTCTAGAGTCCTAACACAAGCACCCTGCTTTTGCTGAAGCTACGTACCCTTTTCCCTTCTTAGAAATTTCTGCACATTCATTTGGCTATACAGTGGCTTCCTACACACTGACATCTCTTAATTCAAGGATACTCACTCTTCACCTTTGTGAGCTGCATGTAAGGCACAGAGCCCCTCAAGGCAGAGCCTCACTGGATGGCAAGGCTAAATATCTGGCTCTCAGTACTCACTATGCAGTGAATAATTCAAGGATCAGGTGGGCATGCTGTACACAAAAGTACCCTACAAATTAAATGATCATTCACCCAACATTTACAGAACTTAGCAGCTATTACAGGTCATGTCCACCAATTCTCATAGTATCCTTTGAAACAGGCAGAGGATGAGATTCCTCACCATAGTCCTGAAGAAAACTGAGGCGCAAAAGACCCAGTGACTCAGTTCAAATCCTATAATACTCAAGTGTCAAGTGCCAGGTTTAGAATTCAGACCTTCTAAGTGCTAATTCTTACTCCTTCAAAAGCCCCTACCTTGTCACATCCAGAGAGGCCATCTTCCCAGAACACTACATTCCTACTTTCTCAAGCTTACAATACTCCAAGTTATGCTGATTGTTCCAAGCAAGCAAAGAATCTGAGTCTACACCATCTGCTCTCGGTTCTTACCAGGGAAAGGCTTTTTTATTTTACCAGTGTTCAATTTTGAAAACTAGCCCAATTTCAACTTGACTCAGGATCTGGCAGGTTGCCACCTTGTCTCAGTCTCAGGGGCCTCACCTGGGTTAATGATCGAGCCCTGGGGCTGGGGGATGTCACAAACTTGATAGATCTTCACCGGGTTCATGGGTACTTCCTTGGTACCATCGTACATCAGGTTGAATTCCCTGCTCTTGTTGAGAGCACAGCGGAGCTGAGCCTTCCATTTAGCTGGATCAGGGTCATCCACCCCTTCCTGGTACTTCCCGGTCTCCACAGCCCAAGCCTAAGGAATGGGACACCATGAGTCCTGACCACTACTGAGAGCCACTGCCAAGAATGTGGTCCCCTCACGTGCACACAGGCATGCATGAGCATACATCGCGTGTGTGTGCGCACTCGTGCACACACACACACAGAGCATCCCACAATCTTAATCCCAATTACAGGATTCTGGTGAACAACACTCCCTTAGGACAAACCAAGACAGGCCAAGGGGAAATTAAGCTGTGTGCAAACACAGCTTTGAAAGGAGCCTTATCTACCCTGGACAACAAAGCCACAAGAAAGGGCTGAAAATGAAGACTGGGTGGAACAGCCATCAGGATGCTCAGGGCAACTCTGAACAGCAGCTCTAGGCTGCCCTTTCCTCCTCTTCTGAGTCTCCTCCTCTTTCCCTCCTTCTTCCCTCTTCCTTCGTCCTCTCCTCCCTCCTCCCTGTTTTTTAAGGCTTATTTTTAATTTTTAATTATGTATATTTGTGTGTGTGTGTGTGTGTATGTGTGTGTGTTTGTATGTGTACCTGAGTGTAGGTGCCCATGGAGGCCAGAAGAGAATGTCAGATCCCCTGAAGCTGGAGTTTTAGGTAGTTATGAGCTGCCCAATTTGGGTTCTAAGAGCCAAGTCCTCTTAACCACTAAGCCACCTCTCCACCTGCCTCTGAGTTTTTGAAACAAAGTCTCACTATGTAGCCCCAGGCTGGACTCAGCTTGAAATCCTCCTTCCTCAGCCTCCCCAGTGATGAGATTGAAGATGTATGCATCTCACTGGGCTCTTTTTAAAGAACTGCTTATACAACAGTAAATATGACAAAAGGAGATGGTGCTGCAGAGACCAAAGAGCCATTGTGTGGCGCTGCCCTCCTGCAGCTCCAGCACTCAGGAGACTTACAGCAGAAGGATAGTGAGTTTGGGGCTAGGCTGAGCTACATAGTGAGTTCAAGGCCAGTCTGAACTACACAGTGAAACCCTGTCTCAATAAAACAAAGAACTTTCAGGAAGCACTCCAGAGTCTAGCGCTCCCCCACACCTGGGTGAGGACTTCAAGCTCAACAACTCCATACCCCAACCTGCCCCCAGTTCCTCAAACTCCTGCCTCACTGGAAACCGCACACAGTGGCCACACCACTAGCTTGGTTGGTGACATGGTCTAAACCACTCTGACTCCTCCTTTCTGGTTTCCCAGTATGGACTCACAGCACCACCCCACACAAGGGGCGTGAGACCCTCTTCCAGAGAGAAGGGAGACCAAGGCCCCAGGAGCAGACAGCCCCCGGGAGCAAGGTGGGGAACAGCACCCAGCCTGTTCATCCACAGGCTTCTGCTCACAGCACGCCCACCCTCCCCGCCACTCCACATGCTCTGCTCTAAGCTTTCTTCGTGCTTTCTAACAGGGAGGAGACATTGTTAGAGAAAAATCGAACAGGAAGAACACTCTAACCATTTAAATGTTTTATTACGTTTTATTCATTTACTGTATGTGTGCACGTGTGACCATGGCATGCGTGTGGCGGTCAGAGGGCAACTTTTGTGAACTGGTTCTCTCCTTCCACCATGTGGGTCCTGGGGGTCAGGTTTAGTGGCAAGCGTCTTTACCTGCTGAGCCATCTTGTCAGCCCTATGGTGGACCTTTTCAAGATGACAGGGCAGATTACTTGTCCAAACTCCTGCCAGAGAACTTTGTTCCAGAGGCTCTCACTATGTAGCTCAGGTTGGCCTCATACTGCTGGAAATCCTCCAGCCTCAGCTTCCAGAGTACTGGAATTACTGGGATGTAACAGGCATACACTACCACACCACACCCAGCCACACTTTTTCTTTGAGCCAAAATTTAACTTTTTCACCCCATTTTTTGAGACTGCCAATTTCCCTCAGTCCCACAGTGCAGAGCAGCAGACAATTTTCCCAATGCTGGTCTAAGTCCTCTTCTTCAATTCAGACTCACTTCCTCTAACCCCCTCCTCAGATCTGGGTTCCTCTGTGTGCTCTGTGGCACAGGACTAAGAATACTGGCAAAGGTGAGCTGGCCTGTGTGGTGACTAAAGGTGGCTCCATCCATCCCAGAGTGGCTCAACTTCAATGTCCCAGTGCCCAAGAAGCAGACCTGCCGTTATCTGGTGTGCCTGCTTGCCGCCTCCCACATGGTCCCTCAGTTTATCTGATCCTGTGTTCATGATGGTCTGACCCCACTCAGCTGACTCCAGCCTGCAGATTTGAACAGGAGCCTGTGTCTTCTGTGGTTCCCGCAAAGCCTGCCCACCTATGCAGCAGTCAGAATACTTTAGCCCCAGCTTCCTGATCACACCCACCAACTCTCCAGCCCACTGAGCTGATGCTGAAGATCAGAGTTGATGCAGCAGAGGGCTGTACCCTTTGTAAGCACAGCTTCAGAATCAGTGGAGGGCCCCAGGTACCAGGTGGGCAGACACTGTGATTTGTAAACTGAACTTGTTCAAACCCGTCCAGAGTCTGATCGCTGCACAGGCCCTTCTTTCTCTTCCTAAAATAGATATCATCTACATCTTCATGGTACTGTACAAATCTCTCCCCAGACTTTACTTGATTCTCACGATAATCCTATGAGGCAGGACTGACTCTACCCCCAATTAATCAAGGAGAAACTGGAGCCCAGGGAGGTAGCATGCCTCGCTCAAGAACTCGCACACAATTGGTGGTTATAGAAGATGAGGCTAGATATTCCATTTCCCATTCGGAGTCAGAAAGAACTTGGGGGAACAAGGCAGACACGGGTTCAATTCCCTGGCCATGTGATTTGGGCAAGTTACTCAACACCACAGACAGCTTCTACAACAACGGAGTAGGGAGAAGACCTCCCTTGCAGGGTCATCATGAGAAGTAAGATCAGGAACAGGAACACCCAATTCTATGCTGGTGCCTCACCTGTGCATCTGGACAGAAGCTCATCAGAGCATGGGATCCATGACAGCATCCTCTCTTCTGACTACATAGACCCTCCCTCAACATTCTACAAACTGATATGCTTGCTGATGGGAAGCTTTCCTCCAGCCCTCATGAGTGAGGCTTGTAGGAACCAGCCTCTTCCCCTGGACCAATCAATCAGATGTTTCAACAGCAAACCCAGGTTCAGACCAAGGCTGCACGGATGCCAGCAGGGTACAGGCAGGCCTGTCCCTTTCTTAAGTCCAATTCTAGTGATGGGTGCTAGTCTACACATATGCTCCTAACACTTTCATATTATTTATACCAAATTAAGTATTTCATTTACATTCTTTCCAAGTACCCTCAGCTGATTTTTCTCTCTGCCTCTCCCCTCTACACCTGCCATAAGTGGGAAAGCGCATTGGCAGGCTGTCCTCTGAGCACTGGGCCCGCCCTTCCGGCCCTTTCCTGATCTACTCTCAGCATCCATCTGAAGAGGCCCAGCTAGGACAATCACAGCTCTGCCTTCCAGCTTCTAGGCAGGGAAGGACAAGCTTACTGCACTAGAGGCTGTGGGAACTAAGGCCAGTGATGAGCTAGAAGGGGAGGGGAGATGCTGTTTTGGAACCAGAGCTGCACAGAGGCCCTTTCCACAGCACTGCCCACTGCTTCTGTCTGAAGCCAAGCTTTCACTTAAATCTGGGAAAATGCCATGGGACTAAACCTCATTTTCAGTTACAATGACTGTCAGAACAGAGCTGCTTGCTATTTAAGAAAACATACTTAGAGCTGAGGTGTGTCTTGGTGGGAATGCAGCATGTGCTTTGCATGTATGTGAACTTGAGCTTGAGCCCCAGGACTAGAAAAAGGAAAGAGATGGTGGAAAAGTGAAGAGAGGAGAGGAGAGGAGAGGAGAGGAGAG